GGCCTTTTGGCTCTGACTTCTTCAATCATCATGTTTTCAAGGTTCACCCATGTTGCGGCAAGTTTATGGCTTGAAAATATTCCATGTTTTGTTAAGACATTCATCATTTCGCAGATGTTTAGGTAGTATCCAATACTGGCCAAAATGAATAGTGCTGCTGTGAATAATCATATACCAACTTTCCTTCTAAAACTATTATTTATTTAAATTTTACTTCTTTTTATTATCATTTTATGATACAGTTCCACAGATTGTGGGATTTCCCTTGCCCTCTCCCCAATTCCCTCCCCACCCATTAAATTCCCCTGTATTATTACTATAGTATAGTTCTTCACACAGTCATATGTCCATTACTGTAGGCATGGATAATGGCAGAGAGTCCCGCATCCTATTATCAAGACATAGTAAACAGTTTCATTGGGAGTCCATCTTTGTTTGGAAATAAAGATGCATGCTGCATTGTATCTCACATCTGCATATGATAGTCTCCTTTACACAGTTACTATACATCCCCTTAAATAAAAGCCACAATTCAAAATCAATAACAGGAAGAAAAATACAAATTTACAATGCCATGAAGTTAAATTATGTGCTACTAGATATGATAGTCTCCATTTCACAGTTACTATACATCCCCTTAAATGAAAAGCCACAAAACAAAATCAACAACAGGAAGAAAAAAAGAAAACATTAATAACACCATGAAGCTAATTAAATAACATGATATTGAATGACTAATGTGTCACTGAAGAAGTGAAAAAGAAAATTAAGAACCTTCTTAAAGTAAATGAAGCTATTGTATGATCTATGAATCATTGAAGAATTTAACCAGAAGAAAGTGTTTTGAAGAGATGAAATTAACAAAAAAAAATCAAAATCATGAAATATAATTTCTGCCTATCTTTGTTGGTGAGATATGGTTCCTGTAGGCAACAAATAGATGGGTTTTGTATTTTAATCAAGTCTAGTAATCTATGACGTTTGATTGATGAGTTTAAGCTGCTTACATTCAGGGTTAATACAAATAGGTGGTAATTTGGTCCTGTCATTTTAGGAATGGGTTGTTCATTGGTTTAGTTTTCTGTTGTTGTTTTACTGGGATGTTCTTCATACTTGCCTTTGATTTTGGTGAGTGCTATTCCTTTTCTCTGTCAAGAGAACATCTTGAAGTATCATTTGTAGGGCAGGTTTGGAAGAGGCATATTCTTTTATCTTTACTGTGGAAGAACTGTATTTCATTTTCAAAGACAAAGGAAAGTTTTGCTGGGTACATTATCCTGGGCCAACAATTTTTCTGCTTTTAGAATCTGGAATATGTCGCTCCATTCTCTTCTTGCCTATAAGGTTTCCTGTGAGAGGTCTCCTGTGAGTTTAATTGGCATTCCTTTATATGTCAGTTGATTTTTTTTTTTCATGTGCTTATTTAGGGACTTTTCCTTATGTTCGACTGAAGAGAGCTTGAATATCATGTGTCTTGGTGAAGATAGCTTTTGGTCAACCCTGTTGTGAGTTCTGTGCCCCTCCTGGATCTTGTTTCCCAATTCTTTCTTTAGATTAGGGAAATTTTCCCTTATCATTTCATTGAATACACCTTTAACCCCAGTTTCTCTTCCTGCACCTTCTGGGACTCCCATAACTCTTATGTTTGGCCTTTTAATAGTGTCTTTCAGTTCTTGAATACTTTTTTTGGCCTGATCCAGCTCTGCTTCCAGCTTTTTGTTTGTTTCCCCGTGGTGACAGAAAATATCTTCTAATTTTGAGATTCTTTCTTCTGCCTCCTTCGTTCTATTTTGGAGACTCTCCACTGTATTTTGAATTTGTTCCACTGTATTCTTCATTTCTGATATATCAGCTTTCATTTGATTCATTCCCAGTGTGACATATTCCTTGAATGCCAGCTTTACGTGCTTCTTGTTTTGAATTCTGTATCCCTCATATTCTCGATGTCTTCCTCAGTTAACTCTGAAGTTGGCAAATGCTTTTGCTCCTTTGCAGGGGAGTCATTGTGCCTTGGTCATTCTTTTGCTCTTGGTCATTGTACTTCTGGTTAGCAGAGTCTTCTCCTTGGGGCAGGTTTCCAAAGTTGTGTCACCCACAGGTCTACAATTAGATTTTACTTGTTGTGGCTCACCACTCTCCACCTCCTGTGATACCGTGCTGAGGCTGTACTGTTGTCTATACAACCTTTCTCCCACTTAAAGTTGGAGTAGGTCCAGGATTTGGGAGACACCAGGTGTCCATACAGTTAGGTTGTTGGTGGTGCTGATCTTGCCGGAACCTGTTGGCTGTTAGGTCTGAGGGGCACACGGACCTATTTTGACCCATATAATGCCATAGTCAATATTATTTTCCTGTGGGACCAGTGCAATGCTCTGAGCTCAGTGGGTTCTTGCCGAGTTCGGTATATGCACAGCTCACTGTTGTCCCCTGCAATCTTAAATTCTTTGCCACACTGTAAGAAATGGCGCCTGATGTGCCACTACTAGAGTTTTTGATCTGCTGGCTGTCAGGTCTGAGGGCTACCCGGACCTGTCTTGGGTGAAACCTGTAGGATGCCATGTTGCTGCAGTTCACTGAGTCAGAAATGAGTTCACTCCCAGCTCAGAGCATGTGCAGTCCTGCTCCATAGCCCTTGCCTCCTTAAACAGAATGGCATCTGATATGGCTCTTGGGGGTAGATTGGGCTGTGTAATTTACCCTGTTCCTGCACTGCCTGTCTTGGACCTGCTGCTCTGTTTCTGTTCCTGGTCAAATCAAACAGACCAGCAGGATGTGCAGTTCTTTGGGTTCACCCTGGAGCTCCAGATAATGTCCTTTCCCACCTTGTTGCTGGTGGAATTCTGGCTGCCAGTGCAGTTCAGATCGCCACTCACTGAATGCTGCTGGAGTATCAGTCACTGCAACACCACACTGTTGTCTCCGCTGCTTTCCTGTCTGTCAGTCTCCAGGTGCCCCTCTGCTGTCGTTCTGTCCTCTTCTATTTCCTGGAATGTGCCCTCTCTGCTTCACACTGGCTAATATTTCTCCGTCTGTTTAAATGTGTCCTTACCCTATTCCGCCATCTTGATTCTCCTTCTAAAATCATTCTTATACTGTGCTCTTTCTAACTATGCCTAAGATTTCCTGGCAGTGAAGAGCTGAGGTATTCCGTATTGGAGTCCCTGCGTTCAGCACCTGGCTCAGCTCCTGACTGTGGCTTGCTGCCTACGCAGCTGTTGGAGACACGGTGCTGACTGCAGTCCTGGGGCCCCTCGGCTCTGATTCATTCTCTCGCCGAGCGTTGATCAGTCCAGTCCCAGGCGTTGCTGGCTTCTGCGTCCTGAGCAGCAGACAGGGGCCCTTCTGTCTGCGTGTGCCTCTCCTCCGCTCTCACCCGCTGCGTCTCTTGAGTAAATAAATGAAAATGAAATTGGTTTGCCCCAAAACAGCTTCACAATTTATTTCAAATTATTAACATTTCTTAACAACTCACTATTTACAAAGCTGTTTCTCATATATCCATATTTTCTCCACTTTTGCACTGCCTCACTAATTCAAAGAGAAGTGGGGTTCAGGAGCAATTTTTTTCTCATTTTACAGAAAAGTAATTGAATTATAGGCAAAGGGAAAAGCCTTAGGGAGGGAAGTTGATCAGTGTTGTAAGTGAAGCTCAATGCAGGGCGCCCTGATCCAGTGCCAGCTTCAGTGACCCGCAGTGTAGCCTGCCTCACTGCTGTGTCATCCAGGACCTCCTGACTGGGTTAAGCTGGAAAAACTAGAAAAATAATACTCACTAAGACTCATAGCTGGAACTTGATCTCTGGAATGTCCACACTTTTTCAAGTTGGTTAACAATGTTTCAATCTGCAGCATAAATGCCTTCTGAGAAACTTGTGCTCTTATTCTAAAATATACTTTTATTGTTGACTTCTTAAAGTTTTTATATTATTGTACCTCATTTACAAGGTGAAACTTAGAGACATTGCAATATCTTTACTCATATTTAGTTCTTCACTATATAATCAAGAGAGGGCAATAAGAGATAACATTTTATGAAATAGGAAGTTAAATTTCTTCTTTATTATATGAGTGCCGAGGTCTGCAGAAGAAAAATGGTGCGTATTTAACGTTTCTGTGTTGCTGATGATTTCGATTTCCCCAGAGATGGTTCAGAATCAGTATTACATGCACACATATCAGATGATTGATTCACAAGTTAAATTGGGAAGTTTGCAATTCTTTAACAATTACCTCAGTAAAGGATCTGCCGTATTAGGAGCTTGCTTAAGAGGGTCATGCTTTTTAAAAATTTTTTTGAAGATTGACTTATTTTGATTTGACAGGCAGATTTACAGAGAGAAGGAGAGCTAGAAAGGTTTTCCATCTGCTGGTTCACTCCCCCAAGTGGCCGCAACAGCTGGAGCTGAGTTGATCTAAATCCAGGAACTAGGAGCTCCTCCATCTCCCACATGGGTGCAGGGTCCAAGGCTTTGGGCCATCCTCCGCTCCTTTCCCAAGTAGAGAGCTGGACCAGAAGTGGAGCATCCAGGACATGATCTGGTGCCCATATGGAATGCTGGTGCCACGGGGTGCAGGATTAGCCCATTGAGCCGTGGCACCAGCTTCAATAGTCATTCTTGAATTTTTTTTTCTAAATTAGTACATTTGCTGGATTTGTGTTTGTTAAATCATGAACTTATTAAAAATGCAAGAATATCAGAACAGTTCCAAAGATTTTTGGCATTGGATTTGACCTTGCGGAAATTAATTGAGACTAACTATTGATTTAGCAGATATGAAAAATTGAAAATGTGATATTAAATATCTTAACCCCATGAAGCAGTTCTTAATGTTGAAGCAGTTTGTTGATGCGTAACATTTCCAGTTATAGATTAAAGTCTTCAGGTAATCTGCTCATCAGGGAAAAGCCTTCTGGGCTTAACTCTTTAATAAATAGTTGCAAAAACTCTGGTGCCTGCCTGAACTCTGGGTCCACTCTGGTGCCATTTCTTCTCCCACAGAGGCGCAGGCGGCCCTGCGCAGGCTGGCTGTGAAGCAGCAGACGTGGACTGCGGAGGAGAGCAGCTGCCCCCCGGACGGCGCAGGAGCAGCACCCTTCCGGATGAGTGTCCAGGCAGGTCTCCCCGTGGCTGAATGCTTCTCACATGATCCGGTTCCTTTTTTTCTGTGTGTCTAGTGAGAGGGAAGGAAAGCCTCAAGTCCAGGACAGTCTGAAGTTGAAGTAAGTGCCCAAACTTACCTCCACAGATGTTAAGTTATCCAGGAGCTTCCAGAACTCTAGCCTCTATGTATCCCATTCCAGGAGTTGTGGTTTGTATGGATATGGGGCACTGTATTAGGCTGCTGTAACAAATTACACAGACTAGATGGATTAACAAATAGAAAGTTGTTTTCTCACCGTGGGAAGCCTTGAGTCTGAGCCAGCAGGGTGGGTTTCTAATGAAGCCCCTCTTCCGGCTTGGGGCACTTCTGCCCTGGGGCTGTGGGGAGGAGACCTGTCTCCCTTCAAGGCTGCCACATCTCCTTCCTTAACTTCAGTCAGCTCTCTGTCCAGCCACATTAAGGGTTAACGACTTCAAAGAATTCATGGAAAATGTAACTCAAAGATTTATTTTGATGCAAAAAAATTGAAATCTATCCATTTTTTTTTTCATTTACTTCGTGATTGTCTTGTTTTATTTTTCAAAAAGCTCTGTTTGAAAAGTAGAGATAAAGAGAAACAGGAAAAGGTTTTTCTGTCTGCTTGGTCACTGCCCAAATGGTCACCATCATCCACCTGAAGCCAGGAGCCCTATTCTGGTCTCCCGTGTGTGGGGGGGCCCAGCTCCAAGCGCTTGGACTGTTTTCTGCTTCCCATCCATGCTCGTGGCAGGGAGCTGGATCAAAAGCAGAGCGCCGGGCCCGGCGCGGTGGCGCAGTGGTTAAGGTCCTCGCCTTGCATGCCCGGGATCCCATATGGGCGCCGGTTCTATCCCAGCAGCCCCGCTTCCCTTCCAGCTCCCTGCCTGTGGCCCGGGAAAGCAGCCCAAAGCTTTGGGACCCTGCACCCATGTGGGAGACCCGGAAGAGGCTCCTGGCTTTGGATCGGCATAGCATCGGCCTTTGTGCTCACTTGGGGAGTGAATCATCGGACGGAAGATCTTCCTCTCTGTCTCTCCTCTCTGTATATCCGCCTTTCCAATAAAAAATAATAAAAATAAATCTTAAAAAAAAAAAAGCAGAGCGCCTGGAATGCCCGCAGTGGATGCTGGACTGTGAGCAGTGACTTGGCAGGCCATGGGGCCAGGCTGGCCTGCTCATGAACCTTTTGAAGACCCTTATAGGGGGTCCGGCGTGGTGGCCTAGTGGATAAAGTCCTCACCTTTAACACGCCAGTTCTAGTCCCAACAGCTCCACTTCCCATCCAGCTCCCTGCTTGTGGCCTGGGAAAGCAGTTGAGGACGGCCCTAAGCCTTGGGACCCTGCACCCATGTGGGAGACCTGGAGGAAGTTCCTGGATCCCGGCTTCGGATCGGCGCAGCACCGGCCATTGCGGTCACTTGGGAAGTAAATCATCAGACGGAAGATCTTTCTCTCTGTCTCTCCTCCTCTCTGTATATCTGACTTTGCCGTAAAAATTTTTAAAAAAAGATCTTAAAAGGAAGACCCTTATATGAATGAATTCCTATATTTTTGAACAAAAATAAACACAATTTTATTTTCCAAGAATTTTTGAAGTCCTTTTGAAAGACATAATATAGTCCATCACAGGTATGATTGGTATGATCTATGCTTTGGAATGTTTTTAAAATTTCAGGTGATTCTAATGTGGAAATGAGCTTTGAATTTATGAAAATCGAACTTGATCTCCAGTGCAGCTCTGATTTGGAAACACCTTTACTGGGTTGTTTTGGAGATCTCTTTATTGATTTATGAAAGTGACAGTTGAGTCCTCCATTCTCTTTTCCTTCCTTCCTTGGGGCTGGTGCTGGAGTGTGGTGAACATTCTCCCAGGGAGCACGTGAGAACCTTTCTTCACGTTTGAAAAATCATATGCTGCTTCTGGAAGGACCAGGTCCATTGTCAGGACAGCAGATAGCTGTGGCCGTGCCTTATCTTCAGGATGGCGAGGGGCAGTTTAATGGTCAGCCCTAAAACGATTTCTGCCAAATAGCACCCAACAGGTGATGCCAGTGGACCGAGGAAAGTGACTCTGAAAGTGTGGTCACGTGCCGCGGTCGGTCTGAACAGGCAGTGGTTTGCGTGTGTGACCTAGAGTGCTGCATACTCTTCCTAAAGGCCGGGTGCGGTGGGCAGGACAAGGCTGCCGCATCACTGTGCAGGCAGGAGAAATGATGAGACTAAGACTTCCCTCTTTCCCGTGAAGATTAGTGGCACAATTAGAGCAAACTGATGCATAAAGACCAGTGCTGTTTCGATATTCAGTAATTCAGAAACTTGTGTCTGTTCAGGTCAGGCTCATGGAGCCATTTATAGGTAAAAGGTCCCAATACTTCTTGATTTGAAATGAAATTTATAGACTGGTAGGTAAACACATGATTACAATACATTGTGGTATATATGATGCTAACAGCAAGCGATGACTTTTGAAGAAGTGCACCTGTGCCCCAGGGAAGAGGTCAAGTGTGCAGGCACTGGTGCGAGTGGAAGCAGACACGCTGGGCGCAAGGGATTTTCCCTCAGGAAAAAACAAAACATGACCCGTGGAAGATGTAGAGTGCATCTAGCTCCGTCTACGAAGGATGCGCCTTAAACACCGTGACTTACAGCTCTTCACGTACGAGTAGGACACCTCTGTCTGAGGTTTCCAGAATGGAACAGTTCCAAGCTGGGGCCATGGAAATAGGTGGCTTGAAGTGAGTGGACACAACGGTCATTGTCAGTGAAGAGGTCAGAAAACAGACTAAAGCGCTGGTTAAGCTGGGCATCTGCTCGCTGTGGAAGTTAGACTCGGGGCCAGAGGAAAGCAGTGAGCTCGTGACCGGGTGTCAGCTGGTGGGAGGCACACCGGAGGTGACGAATAGTGCAGCCAATGGGAACAAGGGTTTCCTCTAAGTATTTCTTCCTTTACGTCTCATTGTTCCCAGTACTAGATATCACCCAAGTGTATGGATACTTGCACGTAGAGAAAGTGAGAAAACAGGGAGATGGCAAAAAATAAAAAAGTAAAAATTGTGTCTGAGGGGAGAGCAGCAAGGTTAACACTCAGTGTCAGTATCCATGAGCGTGCTACAGTAAGTGATGCACTAATGGGGAACGTGAGGACAACGAACCCCGAGGGAGACGAACGCCAGAGAGCTCCCCCAGGGACCCTGGGCTTTGTGTGTACGCCAGGTGAGCCCTGCATCTGGATAACAGCTGTCTTCAAAAGCAATCTGATTTGACAAGGTCTCCTTAGCAGCTTTATCCAGTTTGGTATTTATTTTTGTCACAGCTCTCGATCGCGTGTACAGAGTTAGACAAGCACATGTGCACAACATAACTGCAGATATGAATGTGTGCACGTGTGTTTAGCTGAGGAGAAAGAGACTCAGTTTTAGAAGCCGCTCCAGGCCTCACAGCTACACATTCTTTTTTTTTTTTTTTTAAGATTTATTTATTTATTGGAAAGTCAGATATACAGAGAGGAGGAGAGACAGAGAGGAAGATCTTCCGTCTGATGATTCACTCCCCAAGTGACCACAACAGCCGATGCTATGCGGATCCGAAGCCAGGATCCAGGAACTTCTTCCGGGTATCCCACATGGGTGCAGGGTCCCAAGGCTTTGGGCCGTCCTCGACTGCTTTCCCAGGCCACAAGCAGGGAGCTGAATGGGAAGTGGGGCTGCTGGGATTAGAACCGGCGCCCATATGGGATCCTGGGTGCGTTCAAGGCAAGGACTTTAGCTGCTACGCCATCACTGCTGGGCCCTCTTGTGTTTTATCATGACATCAGACAGAGCTGAAGGTGAGGACTGCAGCCCCCGTGATTCACTGCTGGTGTCTGCCGCCCAGGACTGACAGCATGCGTTACTTTTCATCATAGCACTTAAGTCAGTTCTGACTACAGAACACAGCAGGCTGGGGTTCTGGGTTTCCCTGTTCATTAAAGGCTTCGTTTCTCTCTCACTTGCCCTGAGTCGACGCTGAAGGGGCAGTTTGCCTTGCAGCGGCCGTGCTCTGCTGACCTGACACAGAGTCGTGCCAGTCCCTCAGTCAGCATTGTGTGTTCTTTCATCATCTTGTGCATTTGAAGTATGATGTCACTCACGCTGTCATTATTTTATTTTTATTTATTTATTTATTTTATTAATTACATTGCATAATGTGGCACAGTTTTATAGGCACTGGGATTCCCCCCACCCCTCTCCCACTCCTCCCCTCATGATGGATTCCTCCACCTTGTTGCATAACCACAGTTCAAATTTAGTTGAGATTCTTTCATTGCAAGCATACACCAAGCATAGAGTCCAGCATCTTATTGTCCAGATAAGTTCAACTGCTTCTTGGGGAGACCCTCTCTGGTCTGAAGGTAGAACCGGCAGAGTATCATCCCAGTCAACCAAAAGCCCCAACTTAACATCAGCAACAATTTATAATGTTATGGAATTAATTGACATGGTATTGAGTAACCAATATGTTAAAAAAGGCAAGTTCTTAACCACATCCTGTGACTTCTTCATTGACATTTCAATTTTAGTTTATATATAACCGGGTTCCATGCACTTTAAAATGGCTACTGATTACTATTCAGCTGTCTTGTGTCTATTTTCATTATAATATTTAGCATTTTATAGCGTTGAAGCATAATTTTGCTGAGCTATCATTATTTTCTACTGTGACTTGTTCTGATTTGGCGATCATCCAGTCTTTGTAGGTTCAAGTATACAATAAGCCAAAATAGTGTCCTACAAGCATGTAAATATATATGTAAGTGGATGTAAATAGGTCAGGTAGTCATGTATAAGCATGAGCTGTAAAATAATGAGGGGTCATGTGATAGGCAATCAGATATTTAGCTGTGTACACAGGAAATGAATGTTCCTGGAGACACAGCATGGCCCAGTGGAACGTGGTTTAGGTCTAGGTCTAAATCCTATTTCTGCCACTTGACTGTGTGACCTTGGACACACTGATTAACTGGGTTTCATGATCTTCCAATAAGAGTAGTTATTTCCTTCTTGCATATAAACTGCAAGTAGCAGGTGTTCAGTAAACAGTAGCTGTGTTTATTATTAATTGTAGCCCCTGGTAGCCGCTCAACAGACCTTCACTTATTTATCTGTCTTTACTGTTACACATAATTAGCTCTCTCCATGATACACCATATAATCACCAAGGTTACAGAGATTTGAAACTGTTCCAAGAAGTTGTTTTGACAATGTAAAGTACAGAAAATGCCTTTAATTGCCACCACTAATATGTGTGAATAATCCTAAATTGTTTCCAGAATTTTCTAATAACCAACTATTCATTTTTCTAATTTTTGAAATTCTGCTAATAATTTTTCTGAGAATGACCACTGTATTACATAGTTTATCTCTTTTCTATGCATTATAAAAGATTATAATATCTTGCCTATTTTCATTTTTGAAAGATTTAGTTTTTATTGGAAAGTCAGATACACAGAGAGGAGGAGAGACAGAGAAGAAGATCTTCCATTCATTGATTCACTCCCCAAGTGACTGCAGTTGCCAAAGCTGAGCCAATCTGAAGCCAGGAGCCGAGGATGGCCCAAAGCCTTGGGACTCTGCACCGCAGGGGAGACCCAGAACAGGCTCCTGGCCGTCTTTCACCTGTCCTTGACTGTTCTCCCAGGCCACAGGCAGGGAGTTGGATAGGAAGTGGGGCTGTCCCTTAGGTTCCCTGTGGGCACAGTTCCCAGCCCCAAAGGTGTCTCCCTGCAGATGTCTGAGGCTTTTAGAAAACAACACCCCCAGTTGATTCATCTGTGTGCTTGGGTTTGTGTTTGTGAGATAAGGGTTTTTTGTTGTGTTATTACAGGTTGATGAAAAGCCCAGAATACTGACAAGAGATTGTCTAATTATAAAGCATTTTTTACACAGAATCATCTTGGTGCATCCTAAGGTAGGCTGCTTTTTTTTTTTTGTACAAAGATGTTTCTTTAAGTAATGTGTTTAATCCTCTACTTTGTAGGAGATGGAAGGACGGCGCTGATTCTCTCTGACTTGTCAGACTGAATTGCTGTGGTTTCTGTGTCCTTAGGACAGCTGAATGTTGCTGGTGACAGCTGAGACGCCTGGGGGCAGGGACTTCTTTTCACTTCCTTACTTCCTTTTTTTTTTTTTTAAGATTTATTTATTTTTTATTACGAAGTCAGATATACGGAGAGGAGGACAGACAGAGAGGAAGATCTTCCCTCCGATAATTCACTCCCCAAGCGACCGCAACGGCTGGAACAATGGCTGGAAATGTGCCGATCCGAAGCCGGGAACCAGGAACTTCTTCCAGGTTTCCCATTCTGTGCAGGATCCCAAGGCTTTGGGCCGTCCTCGACTGCTTTCCCAGGCCACAAGCAGGGAGCTGGATGGGAAGTGGAGCTGTCGGGATTAGAACCGGCGCCCATATGGGATCCCAGCGTGTTCAAGGCGAGGACTTTAGCTGCTAGGCCACCGCACCGGGCCCACTTCCTTACTTTAATGTGTCACTTTAAAAATGCCTCATTTCCTTCCTCTGTGTTTCATTTCTTTTTGTCAACAAACAATGTATTAATTTTTATTGGAAAGGCAGATTTACAGAGAGAAGAGACAGAGAGGAAGATCTTCCATCCGCTGGTTCACTGCATAAGTGGCCGCAATGGCCAGAGCTGAACTAATCCGAATCCAGGATCCAGGAGCTGCTCCAGGTCTCCCACACGGGTGCAGGGTCCCAAGGCCTTGGACTGTCCTCAGCTGCTTTCCCAAGCCACAAACAGGGAGATGGTTAGAAAGTGGAGCTGTCAGGACACAAACTGGCGTCCAAATGGGATCCCAGTGTGTGCAAGGAGAGGACTTTAGCCGTTAGGCTACAGCACCAGGCCCAGTCTTCCTCCTTTTGAAAGGCTTAGTGGTTTTCTGTTGCGTGCATATACCTCATCTACCTCATCCATCCCGATAGCACATGCGCAGAAAGACGGATACCGCGGAGGCTTACCCGTGGGTTCAAAAGGCAGATTCAGGGCCCAGCGTGATGGCGTAGCGGTTAAAGTCCTCATCTTGAATGCACTGGGATCACACATGGGCGCCGGTTCTACTCCCAGCAGCCCCACTTCCCAGCTAGCTTCCTGCCAGTGACCTGGGAAAGCAGTGGAGGACGGCCCAAAGCCTTGGGACCTGCACCCGTGTGGGAGACCCGGAGGAGCTCTTATCTCATGGCTCCTGGCTTTGGCAGCACCGGCCATTGCGCTCACTTGGGGAGTGAATCATTGGACGGAAGATCTTCCTCTCTGTCTCTCTTCCTCTCTGTACATCTGCATTTCCATTGAAAATAAATAAATCTTAAAAAAAAAAAAAAAGCCAATTCAGAGAAGTAGAGGTGGGAAGCTGGTTACCAGAGACTTGGGGGTGGGAGAGGGCCGAGTGTGAGGAGTTGTTTGGCCGAGGGTGCAGGGCTCGGCAAAGAGAAGGTTCTGAGTCCTGCTTCTGCGCGGGGTGAGCGGGGCTGACATCGGAGCAGCTGAGAGTGAACGTGGAAAGCTAATGAGTGCGTTAATCAGCGTGCTTTAGTCATTCTACATTGTACACACACATCGCATTGTGCTCCATTAATTAGTGTCTGCTGTTGTGATTTCTCAATTTGAACACCGTGTCCTTTAGAGGCGCTGCAGGTGTGGTCCTGGGTCCTGCTCAGTGTCACTTCTTGTCATTTATTGTTTTGTAGATAAGATTTAACTTCCGGCTCGAGGTGAATGGGGTCCTGTCAACGAATGTCTTCAGGTCTGTCCCGATCCATGGCTTAAGATGGCAGAGTGGCACTGCGGGCTTTTTCAGCTGTGTTTGTCCTGTTTCTAGCAGATTCTTGGTTTCCTTCCTTGACCCAAAGTCTCCTTGGCATTAGTTTTCTGAGAGCCTGACATTTTTCCATTCCATATTGGCTTTTGCTAAATAAGCATATTTGTCTAAACTGTTCATGCTTACTCTAGAGAGAATGAACCTAAAACTTTCATTTTCCTCTTGGTTAATTGGTTACTGAATTTTAATCCTTTCTGGGGTGGTAGTTGCCACAAGCCAAAATTTGTATAAACAGAAATTTGTTGTGGAATCATTGAGAGATAGCTTGGTTTGGCTTTGCTTTGCAGGATAGAGGATGAACCTGCTCTGAGCTTGTCCGACACAACTGTGCTTGTCGTCAGCCATCAGCATTATGTGAGGTGAAGGGGAAAAGCATTGTCGTGCCCTCTGTGTCTTTACTGTCCTGGCGTGAGAGTGGGCGGAGGTAGAACTCGCCATCTCTAAGTGCCAGGTGCCGGCTTCCCTAGAGCAAAATGCAAGCAAACTTCAGAGTGATTTGTATTGAAAAGTGTCATTATTCCTGGCTCCTTAGAAAATATTCTAATTGACCTGAGAATATGTTTCTTTGCCCTGCTAATTCCAGTTCCATTTAGACATGAGAAGACAGAATTTAAAGGTTGCTGGAATTCTTGGGTGACGAGACACTGTGAATCCAGACAATTTGGTGATATATCACTTTATATGCATTGGCATTTTACACAGGCTTGAAAGCCATCTTTCTTCTTCCCCCTTCTTCAGGCACCAAAAAATGAATATATGGCGGAGGTGGATTATAATATGGTACAAACATAACCCATTTGTCCTGCCTTCTTGTAAAGTCCAATTACCAGAGTTCAAAATGAACATGATTTTTTTAGTCAAGGAAGGACCTATTATATGCTTAATTAATGTATTTTATTCAGTTTCTGCCGTTATTAAAATGCCCTCGGTCAACACCAATAGACTCAAGGCTTAAATCCATGGTTTTAAAATCTGTTTTCTTACATTTTGCCTAAAGCATACCTGAGTGAGAATATCTTTAGTGCTTTAAAGAAGAGAAAACATCTTTTTTTTTTAGAATTATTTTCCTAATCTTTATTCCCCAAAATACTTTCAGCACAAATGTATCAATTTGGAAAAATTTTAGTGCCTCATATTGGGGACCTGGGATGGAGGGAGGCTGGGTGGGACTTTCCCTTTGTTTCTCCCCTGGCCCCGGATACAGGGGGGAAAATGATGATATTAGTGTGGAAACAATGGTCTTACCCACTTTCCTGTAGGGCACTTTGTATCCTAAGAGGAGGAGGAAGCAAGTGCCCCATTGCATATCTGTCTGCAGACATCTGACTGCCATAGTTTTACCAACGCTTTATGGATTTGTCTCCCTGGATGGCCTGATTAGTGACAGAGAAGGGGGTCTGCTAGTGTTTTCTGTTTAGGCCAGAGTTGCTAAAAAGTCAGCACACACTTCACTAGATCTCTCCGAGGGAGAAAGGTACCCAGTCTCCTGTTGGATTACCGTGGGAGAGCAGAGTTCGATCAGATGGGATCAGCTTTATGCAATTCATGTTGTTGCGGGTGCATTACAGGTTGTGCAAAATTTTGGGAATGACGTTTTAATCATTCTTAAGGATAGTGAAAAGGTTAAATTTCTCTATTTTCTGATGGCAGTTCAGAATTTGGTACAGTGGAATCACACTGCGGCAGAATCCACCCTGTGCTGGCACAACCTGTGACTCTTCTCATTCCCGATGACGTGGCTGGCACGGACTTGCTGGGAGAGCTGGTGCTCACCACAGCTGCTGCTCTGTGCCCCGGCCCGGGGCTCCTTGCCAACCAGCCTGGCAGAATGTCTTCGGTTTCCATATCCTTTTGTTGATAAAAATCCATTGAATTATCTTTAAAAATGATTTCTGTATCCCAATTTTAGAAAATATTTTAGTGTATGTATTCTGTGTCTTGAAGCATGTAATTTGTATAAAAACAAAAAAAAATCAAATTTAAAAGCCAAGATTGAAAATATTTTCAGGAAACTGGAGGCTATAGACCTGTGTGTGGTACATTTTTCATATAACCCAGTATGACAGAGTGGAACAGGTGGCGAGGAGGGAGAGACGGACTGAGAAAGTAGTTGGGAATGAATTGTGGCATATCCCGAGTGTCGTGCTGAGAAGTGTGTCATGCTGGAAGGAATCTCTGGCAAGAGGGGAGCAGGAAGCCAGCCACTCCTGAGTGAGTGAGCCAGTGAGAGGAATGAGAGTGCATGTGCCTGACTGTGAGTGTGATGGGCATGGGAAAGTGGGAGCCATCCCAGGAACCAGTGAGGTCACCTGTGGAGGGGGCCAGGCAATGACCAAGTTTGATGTCATAATTTCTGTGTCCAGAATAGATCTACAGAGAAAAACTGATGAGCATCAGAGCTCCATTTAGGGATGTTGGAAATGCTGTAAAATTGAGTGATGATGGCTGCTTGGCTCTATAAATAAACTAAAGCCCATTTAATGGTACATTTAAATTGGGTGAATTGCATAGAGTGTGAATTATATCTGAATAGAACTGGTAAAGCTATTTTCATAGATGACCGATAGGATAATGATCCTGTCAGCAAAGTGCAAGGCAGCAGTGGTCGATTTGGGGGTGCGTACAGACGAGCTTGGCTTTAGATGTGTTGAGTGTGGCACCTGCAGGACAGCCTTTGAAGGCTGAAAACAGCCATTTAGAAATGTGAGTCTGGGCTGGTGCGGTGACCTAGTGGCTACCGGCCTCACCTTGAACACACCAGGATCCCATATGGGCGCCGGTTCTAATCCTGGCAGCTCCACTTTCCATCCAGCTCCCTGCCTGTGGCTTGGGAAAGCAGTTGAGGACGGCCCAAAGCCTTGGGATCCTGCACGGCATAGGAAACTTGGAGGAAGTTCCTGGCTCCTGATCAGTGCAGCACTGGCCATTGCGCTCACTTGGGGAGTGAGTCATCAGACGGAAGATCTTCCTCTCTGTCTCTCCTCCTCTCTGTATATCTGACTTTCCAATAAGAATAAATAAAATCTTAAAAAAAAAAAGAAAAAAATATTAGTCTGCAGTGTGCGAGGCGTCAGATTCGACAGTACAGATTTTCAGTTGATTTGCTCCATCGGTAAGGGTAGTATAGAGCATTACACAAGAGTGCAAATGCTGGATTACCACTTAGCTGTGTTACTTAGCTAGCCTGCACTGTTACTTCTTCAGTTTTGAAACGGAAATAATAATATCTACCTCATAGATTTGCTTATTTTCCCTTGCAAGGGTTTTCGGTTGTTACTCTTTGGGGATTTTTTTTTTTCTTTTTTTTTTTTTAGAGATAGTTATAATATGCCGCTGACACATGCCACTCCTTGACACGTAAGTGACACTGGTCATTATTACCACTCTCTGTAGAGGTCGTTGGAGTAAGTGAAGCTTCAGCCTTCTTATTCTTCTTCACTCGTCTTCAGAAGACTATATAAAGAACAACAAGAGGGTTAATGCGACAGGTGTCGTAAGAGATCTGTTTTAGCAACAAGTAAAGGCAGGATAGTGATGAAGGCCACGTGCGGGCATTTTACAGCTGCACACATGATTTTTCCTAATTTTTGGAAAGTTCAGAGGGCATTAAGTACAGAATAAGCCCTCAATTACAATCATTTCCAGTTCTGAACTGAAGGCAGGAGCCAGAAACTTCTTTCAGGTTTCTCACGTGGTGCAGGGGCCCAAGGACTTAAGCCACCCTCTGTTGCTTTCCCAAGTCATAAACAGAAAGCTCGATTGGAAATAGAACAGCCAAGACATAAACCAGTGCCCATAAGGGATACCAGCACTTCTGGCAGAGGATTAGCTTGCTATGCCATTATGCTGGCCCCTGTTGAGCTGATTTAAAAAAAAAAAAAAGGACTTATTTTAAAGGGTCAGCACTGTTTTATATCAGCCTAACTTTCTGCCTGCTGTGCCAGCATCCCATATGGCTGCTCCACTTCTAACCAGCTCCCTGCTGATGACTTGGGAAAGCAGCAGAGGTTGGCCCCATCCTTGGGCTTCTGCACCCGTGCGGGAGGTCTGGAGGAAGCTCCCAACTCCTGACTTTGGATCAGCTTAGCTTTGGCCGTTGTGGCTGTTTTGGGAGTAAGCCAATAGATGGGAAATCTGATTCTTTTTCTCAGTCTTGTTCTCTTTGTCTTTGTAGTTCAAATAAAACAGAGAAACGAACAAAGAAAACAGGGCTTGAAGTGGAAGTAGTGAAGTGATTGGCTTGATGTACTTAAAACATTTTTGTTTATTTTTGAAAGACAGAATCACAGAGAGAGGGAGAGACACAGAAAGAGATACGCTCTGTCCGTGGTTCACTCCTTGAAAAGCCACAATGGCCTGGGCTGGACCAGGTCAATGCCAGGTGCCAGGAGTTTCTTCCGGCTCCCGTGTGGGTGCAAGGGGCCAAGCACTTAAGCCATCATCTACTCTTTCCCTGACAGATGAATGGGGAACTGACTAGGAAGTGGAGCAGCCAGCTCTTGAACCAGCACCCATATGGGATGCTGGCACTACGAGTGGTGGCTTAATGCACTAAGCTCCACTGCCAGACATTTAGTCAGTTCTACAATTGGGTGAATAAGCAGTCCCAGTTCTGTACCTTTGCTCAGATTCCTTAAACACAAATTTCTGTGGATCCTAGTGGGTCTGTTTCTGGTATCTCACCGATATTCAGCATGGAAGAGGTTTAATAAGTTATTACATAGCATTCTTGTCTGTTTCTGGGATTGTGAATCAGATCAATGTTATGTTTACCTTCTACAAGGTAAACATATGGAAACTAAAATTTGGCAGTTCTCTTTAACAGCTCTACATATTTCTATATGGACCTTTAGGTCTTCCTCTGATGTTGTCAGCGTGGGAGGAACCAATCACCGCAGTCTTCAAAGATACCTCTTATTTCATCGACTGGAAGAAATATAATTTGTGTGTGACACCCAATTTGGATCTTGACTTGGACAGAGGTGTACAAGTATCTCCCTCTCTTTGTACAGGAATGAGAAAAATCCAGAGAGTATTAGAGAAATTGAAGTAAATACAAATATATACATAGCAGGTGTATACAAATGCAGGACCCAGGGATTGATGGCTTAGGCAGGAGCGTGGGATGGGATTGACTGAGTTTCTGAGTCCACTTGGAGTGAGGCAAGTAAGCAGGGAGAGCTCCAACAACAGAGCCTAACTGGGTCAGCATTGTCAGCTGCCACTGCTGTCTCCCCTCTTCCTGGTCCTTCTAGAACCTGCTTGGAGCTGTAACCTAGTGCATCAACTCTAGGGCTTTAGAAAAGTGAGGAAGGGTGTGAGGACACCTTGAAACATAGAGGAGAAATGCTTCTCGATGGAGTAAGAACATTCACATCAAGGTTAAAGCTAAAACAGCACAGATGTGAGACATCAACAGCAGTCAGCCTGCGAAGCTGGCTATAAAGTCACATTGAATTCTGGAGAGTCATGCTAATATCCAGGTGGTTAATAACTGAACCAGTAAGTAAACCTGGGAAGTAGGAGCATCGCCCATGGGCTGGTCTCTGGGAGGCTCACAGCACTGGGCATGCCCGCTGCAAACTAGGTAGGATCTTTGCAAACGTGGATGGTGTCAGGTTATTTGGATTCTGAAGAAAGTAAGGAAAGGCTTCCTGGGTTGTGACTGGCAGGGCAGAGTGAAGCCTCTGGGGATTGGGCAGTGTTTCAGGGGAAATGATGGCTCCTCACTGATGAGGTGAGCCTGGGAAGCTTCATTTGTTTTTTCTCTCTGGTAGGTAGTTATTCCACGGGATGGGGCTTGGAGGAAGGGATCCCTGGATGGGGTTCTGGAGGAGATCATTTTGTGAGGAAGGGATCAGCAGTCAGGGCTTTGCAAAGGGATGGCACATTTGAATTTCTAGGGAAATCCTTCTCTGTTCATTTATAGTTTCAGGATTTGTTAACTTCATATATTTCTTTGCCAAGTCATGATATACCTGAGCTTGCTCATTTGGAAATGGATAGGTAGAAATGACCCATAGTTCCTCCCGTGTTACTGTAAGGGGCAGAATTCAAATCTGCAGAGGTGCTTCTCTATCTGGAATGTAGCAGTGTCCTGACTGTTATGGAGGATTGAGGTGCTAGAAAGTGACCACAGGGCATTGGACACTTGAAAATCTAAACGTCAGATAGAATTGGGGTTACAAACACAGATTTTGGAGTCAACCTAATGAGAGCTAAAACTCAGTTCCACCGCTTACCAACTCAGGGTAAGCAAAGCATTTAATCTGCATATGCATCTTCTCTTATCTGTAAAATGTTATAAAAGTAGGTCCCATCCCATAGTTGTGTGGTGAAGTCTAAATGTTAAAATAATGCTTGCAAAGAAATTAATATGATACCTGGTACATAGCACAAGTTAGTCATTCGTCATCGTTATTATGACTCAAGTTAGAATCTGGCCACTGCTAGCTGCTGGTCACATCTACCTCACAAAAGTATGTAGGAAATAGATGAGTTTTTGAGAAATACTATCCAGTAAATGCAAGGGAGTGCTGTGGGGTTTGCATTTTACACACCCAGTTGTTATGTTGATGTTCTTCTGTGAGTCGCTGTTACTGCCTCTCCGATGAGGAGAAAAACGGGGTCAGGAGGAAGAAGTGAGCGAGTCACACTCCCGTTCTCAGCTCTCTTCGGTCAAGCACTATGAGGACTCACGCTGACCTGTGTGGAATGCCTTGTCCTGCAGATTCGCTGCTTCCAGATGTGAGTTACCGGGTGGTGTCCCGTCAAGGGGAGCAGTCTCAAGGACAGACCCTGCTGCTTTTCCTCTTTGTGGATTTCCACAGTGGATTTCCAGTCCAGCCAATAGAGAGCTGGGGTAGGTACAAGAGGATGGGTGAGCCAAAACCCACGAGGCTAAAGGGAGCCCCTGTGTAACGCACACATCGGAATTAGATATAGCCCTTAGAAGAAAGAATACCAGGGAAACACCTTGCTTAGTAAGTTAAATTATTTGCCCTATAGACAAGTCTATATGTCACTTAAATGATGACATGCTCAAATCTTATGGGCCAGAAATCAGCAGCCATTCCTATGGTACTTCCTAGAGGTGTACACCTTGGATCAGTGGTTCTCAACTTTAGCTGCAATTCTAAATATTTCTAAGATACATCCAACTTCACCTACAGAGTCCGGTTCCCTTGGGCGTGGATGGGGCTCACATCTCCATGTGTTTTAGTCTGAGGTGATTGTGCTGCACAGCAGGCTTGAGAACTCCGATTCCGCCCTTCTGCGTGGAAACAGCCAGGCCGGGGGCTGGGGCACGTATCTACTATGTGGGCGATAGTCTGCTGTAAGGAAGGTACTCTCTGTTGAAGAGAGATTATACAGTGGCTTAAGTTTGTCATTCATGACATGCCTCCCCCAGATCACTATCGCCAGAATTACTGGAAATTGCAGCTTCCTGGACCACTGATCAACCATTTGCTGTAATGTGAAACTCTGATATAGCTTAAGAATCTTCATTTTTAAAAAGATTCCCAAGTGATTCTAAAATATAGTAAAATATAAAATTAAGTGTAATTGATTTATGCATCTTTAAGATTTATTTATTCTGAAAGTGATACGGGGCAGGGGCAGATTTTGAAATTGCACTCGTTTCCAGCTGCTGGTTCACTCCCACATGGCCGCAGTGGCCAGCACTGGGCTAGGCTTACCAGCACTGGGCTAGGCTGAAGCCAGAAGCCAGGTGCTTCATCTGGGTCCACCATGTGTGTACCAAGGGCCCAAGCATTTGGGCCATTTTCTACTGCTTTTTCCAACCCATTGGCAGGAAGCTGGATTGGAAGTGGAGCAGCCAGAACTTAAACTAGCACTCATATGAGAAACCTGTGTTGCAGACAACAGCTGTGCTACAATGCTGGCCCTGGCTTGGGCGTTTTAACCCAGCAAGACTTAGGACATACATTTAGTGATTCCTGAATGTCCTAATGTCCTCCTAAACTCTGAGGGAAGCAATGAGAACTGGAGGTTACACGGGCTTGGAGGAAGTCCTGAGCCTCCCTTCTGGGGCCTCTGTTGCGTGTGTGGTGCTCCTCTCTGCGGGTCACCGTGGCCTTAGGGGACTGTGCTCTGCAGGCATGCCAGTGCTGTGTCGTGTGGCCCTGAGCCCACTGTCCTGTGACTGTAACCCTGTTCAGGGCTGCTCACAGTGACTGCTGCCAACTGTCTGTGGAACACACCCTAGCCAGCTCTGGGATTCTTCCCTCCAGGCCCCTCCTGCTTTTTCCCTGCACAGACACGCTCTGGAGAGGAGTTGCTGGGCTGGCGCTTGCAGCTCTCGATCCGAGGAGCTCATGTTCTTTGCCTCCATTGATTACGGCCAGGGGAATGAGAAATAGGAGAGACTTGAGCTGAGGAGGTGTCTGTGCGTCCTAACCGTCACCTGGCCTGTGTTCGTGTGAGTCGTGGGGAGGTGTCTGTGCGTCCTAACCGTCACCTGGCCTGTGTTCGTGTGAGTCAAGGTTGATAAGAACAACTAAATACTGTGAAAGAGAATGTAGGGTGAGGCCATGAGACCTGGATTTGAGGTTGCTCTGGTAGTGTGGGTTAAGCCACATCATCTTGTGTTGGAATGCCCATTGAGTCCAGCTGCTTGCTTCCAATCCAGCTTCCTACTGGCGGTTCTGGGAAGGCAGCAGAGGATTGCTCAAGGGCTTGGGCCCCTGCCTTCCGTATGAGAGACTAGGATGGATTCCTGATGGATTCCTGGCCCATACCTGGCTACTGTGGCTGTGTAGGGAGTGAATGAGCAGATGAAAGATCTCTTTATCTATAGTATGTAAATTGTTTATTATTAGTAATTAAGTCTCTTTTTTGAAAAATAATTAGACTTGATAATATCAGAGACCCTTCTAGTCTAGAGACCCCTTAAGGCAAATTCTGCTACCCCCTTGTAATTTTTTGAAAAGAATTATTTATTTTCTATTGGAAAGACAAATATACAGAGAGGAGGAGAAGCAGACAAATCTTCCATTCGCTGCTCCATTCCCCAAGTGGCTACAACTAAAGCCAGAAGCTTCTTCCAGGTCTCCCTCACAGGTGCAGGGTCCCAAGGCTTTGGGTCGTCCTCAACTGCTGAGGACTTTAGCCACTAGGCCACTGTGCTGGGCCCAGTTTTTTCTTTTAGGTTAGAGTTATTTGAGATTTGTCTAAATATGAGAGGCAGATTTACATAAAGAGAGAGGAAGAGACAGAGAAAGGCCCTTCTTTCTGCTGGTTCACTCCCCAGATGGATGCAACAGCTAGAGCTGAGCCGATCTAAAGACGGGCTTCTTCTGGCTCTCCCATGTGGGTTCAGGGTCCCAAGGCATTGAGCCATCCTCCCAGGCTATAGGCAGGAAGCTGGATTAGAAATGGAGCAGGGCCTGGCACAGTAGCCTAGCAGCTAAAGTCCTCACCTTGAATGTGTTGGGATCCCATATGGGCACCGGTTCTAATCCCGGCAGTTCCACTCCCCATCCAGCTCCCTGCTTGTGGCCTGGGGAAGCAGTTGAGGACGGCCAAAGCCTTGGTCTCTCTGCATGGGAGACCTGGAGGAGATTCTTAGATCCTGGCTTCAGATTGGCGCAGCACCAGCTGCTGCGGTCACTTGCGGAGTAAATCATCGGACAGAAGGTCTTCTTCTCTGTCTCTTCTCCTCTCTGTATATCTGACTTTCCAGTAAGAATAAATCAATCTTTAAAAGAAAAAGAAAAAAGGAAATGGAATAGCAGGGACTTGAACCAGTACCCATTTAGGATGTTGGCACTGCAGATGGATGATTAACGTGATCAGCCACTGTGCAACTCCCCTACCAGAAGGTGACCCTGAGATCATGTAACTTGATACCATGTTCTCAGTCCTCTTGAACATGCTTTGAGGGCTCAGATTTCCCAGAAACCAATGTCACTCTTCTTGCAGTATTATTGCACATTAGATACTTCTGTGTAGCTTGGCTCTGAACACCTCAGATGTTTTAGCAGTTGTCCTCAGTATTGGATTAAAAAGAAATTCATGCCACCGAGAAAGGGGCCCCACTTTGCCATCCCCTTGAATCTGGATGGTACCTCCATGAGACTTGGTTCACATCGACCAAGTCTTGGTACTCTCATCTGGTGTGCGAGATACAGGCCACATGGACTTGCGTGGGCAGCCAGCAGGACCCGGACAAGAAGGCCAAGAAGTCCTATTTCAGTTTCCCCTAGGTCCCACAAGAAAGAGGCTGGACATCCTCAGGCCCTCTGAGATGGACAGGAGCTCCACAGGACCCCGGGGGCACTTAGTCCCATTCCAGGAGCTCCCGGCCCTCCACCAACAGCAGGAGCCAGATGTCCGCACACAACACACAACCACACACCCACAGACTGCACACCTGCATAACCACACATCCACACACCCACACATCACATACCCCACACACCCACGCAACACACATCCACACACTCACACACCCACACAACACACGTCCACACACACACACACCCACAGAACACACACTCACACACCCATAGGACACACACCCACAGAACATACACTCACACATCCACACACTCACACACCCACACAACACACGTCCACACACACACACCCACAGAACACACACTCACACACCACACACACACACATCCACATCCCACATACCCACACAACACACGTCCACATACTCACCCACAGAACACACACACACACACACACACACACTCATACAGCCAGTCAACAAACACCACACACAGCCAGACTACATATCTACACACTCACACATCCATACACCCACACACTACACACCCCACATACCCACCCACATCCCACACACCACACACCCACACAACACATAACCACACATCTGCACAACATATACCTACACACAAACACATCCAGACCCACACTCCCCCGAGGCCCGTGGCAGGAGCAGGCCAGGATGCATGGCTGGACAGTGCGGCACTGCCGGGATCCATGCCGTGGAGGCAGCGCTGCCGGGGGCTCAGGCCCTGCCTCTCTCCTCTCACAGTCTGGCTCTGGGGTTGGGCCCTTTGGGAATGCTTTCTAAACATGGCTGGTAATGTCGTCTTCACGTCCCCTGCCGATTTCAGAGGGAAAGAGTGAGATGGAGAGAGAAGCGTTTGCCTAAGTTGCAGACGTCAACTACTTGGACGTTGCCAGGATGTAATTTTTGCCAGCAGTTTCAACAAACTTGTGTTGATACGAAATGGTAATTTCATTTCCATTGCACTGGCTTTTGACATTGTTGATAATAGTATTCAGTTCATTAAAGTTCCTTCCGAGAAGAAAAAGGAAGAAATTAATCACGGCATTAGTAAGCCTAAGTGTGTTTTCTGTCTTGCCCAGCTGGTGGCTCGGGAGCGGTCTCTGAGGGGGCTGGGAAGGATGCAGTAACGCTGCCCCTCCTCCCCCTCGTCTTCCTCCAGGATCGCCCAGGAAACAGATTGCGCACAATTACAGTCTGTCTCCATGTGTCGTTTTAAAAATCACTGACTTGGCCTCCTGCCCACCTTGTCATGGTAACTTTTCTACGATTAACTCGTTCTGCTGCGACGTCAAGATCATGTGGTGGGCTTGAGCAGTTTGCGGAGTGACCTTTGGCCCTGTGCGCGCATGTGTCTGCTTTCAGAGAGACCTCATTTCTTGAGGCTGTTCTTAGGACTGACTGTAGAAACGGGAATCCATATGGTGCCTGAACATTGCGTCAGTACTGTCCCGGTGAACAGTGTGCATTTGTACAGCGCACACTTGAGAACGCTTCACATCTCACCCCGGGTATCCCCACCAGCGTGCCGTGAGACCAGGCGCTGCACGGAGGCGAGAAGGGAAAGTGACTTGTTCACTTCCAGTTGCTGATAAAGTTGACCCTGGAATAGGTGTTCTTTGTCTCTGACTCCAGACTTCTTTTGAACCAACCACATTACTCCCTCCTCCAGAAAAGAATTATTGTGCTTTATGTAAACGTTCCTTCTGGCATGCATTTTTACTTTTATTTTAAAAGGTTTATTCTATGTTTATTTGAACGAGACAGAGAGAAAGGTCTCCCATGTGCAGGTTCACTCCCCACATGGCCACAGCAGCCTGAGCTAGGCCTATCCAAAGCCGGGAGCCAGGAGCTTCCTCCAGGTCTCCCACATGGGCGCAGAGCCGTCCTCTGATGATTTCCCAGGCCGTAAGTAGGGAGCTGGATGGGAAGTGGAATGTGGCTCGCGGGCAGCCTCATCGTGATGACGCGCATGCGCTTCTCTGAGTGATGTCCAGCAGAGGTGCCTGTGCCCACTGTGTCAGAACTAACTCCATGTAGAAGGACCTTGTGCCTGTTGTCAGCTTCTGTCATGTTCTTACCAAAGTGTATCAGAAAGAACCGCCCTGTTGCCTGCAGTGGCTCACCACACATCACCTTGGCTGGCAGTGCGATGGCTTAGAGACGTTCCACGAGGCCCACCCTCTCCCTTCTGTCCGATGGCAGTCACTGTTGTCCTTGTGGTATATTTGTAGTGTGAAATGAACTTAGCCTCTCCTTTGCTTCTTCAGAAAGAAGATTGTTTAATTTTCTTGAGCTTTTTTTTTTTTCCTTTATAAGTGGACATTGGGTGGGTTTGGAAGATTTGGGTGATGGGAGAGACACAAAGGTTTGTGTTTAAAGAAAAAGTAATTGCTTGTGGATAGGACAAGGAACGTCTTCTTCCAAGAGGCCCCGCGCCCAGTCCTGGCCCTGGCCCAGCGCACAGGAGCAGGACATCTTGACGTCCTTGTCCATTCTCTGACTTCTCCCTTTTTAGGGGTCCACACTCTGCTCACAGCGCATCTTGGTGCCGTCCTCAGAGAGAGCTGCCACAGGGTGCGAGAGTCGGTCCAGTTCATCGTGGACCAAGTCCTGCAGCAGCAGCAGCAGGCAGCCAAGGTAGTGAGAACGGCCCAGCTCCTTCCTCTTGTTCTGGGAGTAAGAGAGGGCAAGGCCTGGAGTCCTTACCCTCCCTGTTGCTCTCCTCTTGGGTCGCCTGGAATTCAAGCTCTAACTTAGGCTGTGTGGTCTTACCTCCTAATGGATGGGCTTGAATAAACAGGCACAGAAGTAGCAGTCAAAGTGGCTGGTGACGAGCCCGAGCCTGGCCTGTGCGTCTCCCCTTCCCTCACGGACTCGGGCTGCTGCCTCACTAAGCTTTTCCTTCCTCTCCCATTTCCTAAGTCTTCTTCCAGTACTTTCTCTTCTTTGGGGGCGGGGGAGGGGTGAGATTGATTTCTGTATTTGAAAGGCAGAGCAGGAAAGAAAGAGTATGTAAACATGTACTCTTGCATTTGCTAGTTCATTTCCCGAATGGCCAGAACAGCAAGGGTTGGGCCAGACTGAAGCCAGGAGACAGTTGCTCCGTCTAGGTCTCCCATTGTGTGCAGGGCCCAAGCACTCAGCCTCCACTGCCTGCCGCACATGTCAGCAGGAAAGCGGGATGCAAGTGGAGGAGCTGGGACTGGTCTGCTCTTGATATGGGATGTCAGTTTCACAAGTGGCAACTTAATTCCCGGTGCCACAACACCAGCCCCAGGACTTTCTCTTCCTATCTGACTTCTCGATTCTTCCGTTCTATGTAGTTTTGGTGATACATTCCTAACTTTGTTTGACTCTTTTTCAGACAACACACACATACACTAAGAGAATAAGAATTAATGCTTTCCTTTATAAACAGTATGTCAGTTCCTATTAATGCCGTAATGTTTGTCTGTGGAGGCATGAAAGGAGAGGGCACTTAACAATTTTATTGTAATCGCTAAGGGTCATAATGTGAAGAGATACTGTGATCTCAGTAAGTGCTGCCGGAACTGGGGTGGGGTGGGAAGGGGAGGACGTTGTTGAAATCCTACCCCCTTTGGAACCTCTGGCCCCTTGGGGGTCCTCTGAGCCAGCAGCATGGTCCTAATGCGGTCTCATCCTTTCTTCTGTCCCCCAGTCCCAGCAGAGGCTGCAGGCCTCCCTGTCTGTGGCTGTGAATTCCATCCTCACCGTTGTGACTGGGAGCACCAGCAGCAGCTTCCGGGAGACGTGTCTCCAGGCCCTTCAGGTTAGGAGACCTGGGGAGGCTGGCCAGTTCAGGTGTTTGTGTCTCTGAAGCACATACTGGTGTTGGCAGGGCTTTTAAACACGTGGCCCGACTGTGAGCCCACTTAGGACTAGGCCTAAGGGAGTTCAGAAGTGCTTGTGGAATGGACAGGAGTGGGCCCACTCTTTTATCAATGAGAACATTCATTCTTTCGATACCTACTTCCTTTCGGTCACACAGCTAGATCAGAGCCAAGTTAGGATTAGATGAGTGAGCACCAGTGCCGCTTCATGGTGACAGTGTGCCAGGAGCAGCTGAGCAGCCAGAAGTCCACGTATGAGGCAATATGTGGGTGTCAGGGGTTTGGGAATCAGAGGCTTGGCTTCAAATACTCACTTACTGACTAGCTGTGTGGATTGAGCCTCTAGCTTCTCTGGGCCTAATCTACAAATTATTAAAAAAAAAAAAAAAGAAAAGAAAATAATACTTCTGGGCTGGCACATTGGCTCAACTGTCTCTTCCTCCACCTCCAAGTATGGTATTGTATTTGGGCACCAGTTCATGTCCCAGCTGCTCCACTTCTCACCTGGCTCCCTGCCTGTGGCCTAGGAAACGAGGACGGCCCAAAGCCTTGGGACCCTGCACCCACGTGGGAGGCCCAGGTGAGGCTTCAGATCAGCTCAGCGCTGGCCGTTGCAGCCATCTGGGGAATGAACCAGCGGATGGAAACATCTTTGTCTCTCCTTCTCACTCTGTAAACTTGCCTTTCAGATTAGAAACAAAATTTTTTAAAAGTAATAATCCTTCTCCAGAAGGTCACTCTGAAGGTGCAGGCTGAATGTGTGTGATGGTAGGAGTGTCTGTTCCCTCGGGGTTCATGCTGAGGCGTGAGGAGGCCTGGATCTCGGGAGGTGGTGGGTCACAGGTGGGATTAGTGCCCATCAGACAGGCCCCCGTGGGGGCAGCGCAGGGGGACAAGACTGTGCCCACAGCACATGACACGTGCCCCAGACATTAGCTTCTCCCCATCCCGTCAGAACGTGTACAAACTGACTGGACTTACCAGGAGGCAACACGTTAGTCCATCTCTCTCAATGTGTATAGAGGAGGGCAGCCTCCCTTGGCTGGTTACACCAAAGCCAATAGCTGGAGTGGAAGCAGAGCAGCTGGAATCTGAACTGATGCCCATAGGAGGTCCTAGCACATGCAAGGCAGGGACTTGAACCACTGGGCTACTGCACTGGGCCCATCCGTCACTATAATTTCTGATTTTTCATATTATCTCTTAAAGTTATGAGAACATTCAATTTTCATATAAGTTGACATTTTCTGTTTTAGCAGTTCTAGAACTTTATTTTGGTTAATCAGTATTCCACTGTGTTATTTTAGCCTAATTTAATTTAAGTCGGTTACATTCCTTTTACTGTTATAAATAGTGCTTTAGTTGATACCTTTTTGTGGTGTCTTCTTTTGAATTATTTCCTAGAATAAGTTTCCTTAAATGGAGTTACAGTATCAAAGAGTAAAGCATCCAGGGCCTTCAGCCCGGGCATCCCACTTGGGCACTGGTTCAAGCCCTGGTTATTCCACTTTCAATCCTGAGGAGACATGGAAGAGAGCCTGTGTGAAGGGCCTTGCTTGGGCGACAGAAGCAAGAAACAAACGGAAGCCACACCTCCTGTCTTGTGGCTAGTGTTCCAGGCCTCCTTTCTGTCTCTCCTGTCTCTAACGAGACATCTGACAATGGACTGCTCTGCTGTCTGCTCGGCCCTCTCCCCTCTAGGCCTCCAGCACGTGAACGTGGCACATTCAGTCTGTCTCATTTTAGGCATCTGACACACGGGAGTTGGGGACCAAACTGCACAAAGCATTTCGTGAGATCACCCAGCAGCGACTGCATCACCGTTGTTCCTGTGACAGGAAGCAGGTAAATATCAAGGTATTTGATATTTGCACTTGAGTGCAAAGCATTCACTTTGATATGTAAGCGTTCTGAATCCAGCATGAGTGTGCAAGTGCTTTGGATCCAGTCTTTCAGCAAGGAAGCCTGTGGTTTAGAAAACCCATAGAACACATGGTGTTACAAAGCAGTAAATGAGGAAGCTGAGAGTCAAAATCCCAACCATTTGTTCATGGCTCATTGCTGCCAAGAAACTGTGTGAGCTTGCAGGCCAGACAGCCTGTGTGACCCTTAGCACTGATGAGCCCCAATTCTCATGGATCAAGGCCCAAGTCTGGCTATCTCACAGGTGGCTCCAGGTGATGAAGTGGGTGGTTACCTTAATTGCCGGACCGGAGAGCCAGGCATGGGCTGTCCAGCCGAGATAGGTAGGGACTGTGTGGTATTTCCCCTCACCCTGCAGGCTATTGTGATTTGCCACTTCTCAAGCTATTGTAGACTGCCGCTGTAAAAAGCCTGTGAGCGTGCTGTTCCGGGCCGTGCACTCCGGTAAGGGGTGTTGGTCCCGGCTGCCCGGTTGGTCAGTCGGCTGCCTGCTCTCAACCAAGAACCCAAGATCCGACATGCTGAGCTTGAACAAACCATCCTTGTGCCCTTGTAGCGACTCCAGACTCCTGGTGATTTCTGGGGATCTCAAAATCTGGACACAACATTAAGAGCGTAATTAGGTGTGGCTTGAATTCCAGTTCTGCCACTAGCTGTTTGTTGGCATTCATATTACAATTTCTTTAACATTTGAAAGCCATGTTTTTGTTTTAATATTTAATCATTTATTTATTTGAAAGTCATTTATTTACACAGAAAGAGTGGGGGAGAGACAGAAATTGTTTGTTGTCAGAATTGTTCCCCAAATGGCCACTAAAGCTGGGGCTGGGCTGGGACCTGGGCCAGAAGGAAGCCAGGAACTCGGAGGGAATCCTAGTCTCTCACATAGATGGCAGGACCCCAAAGCATCTTTCACTGCCTTTCCAGGAGCATTAGTGGGGAACTTGGACTGGAAGCAGAGCAGGCCAGACTCACACTGGCACTCCAGGGTGGGCTGCTGGCATAGCAAGTGGTGGTTCCCTCAGCTTCTGCATCAGTGATGTAATGGAGTCCTACAGTGGCTTTCGTGAGGTTTGATAAGATAAGGTCTGCAAAGGGTCAAGCAATGCAGATGCTGTGGTGAGGCTCTGTCTACCTTTTGCTTGCTGAGATCTGGAGTTGAACTGAAGGAGTCTTCCCTCAAGGAGGTCAAACCACATTAGCTGATTTGGCGCTGGTCTCTAACAATGAAGGAAAATGCTGTGTGTCTCCAGATTCCATGTGGAGCTGGGAACAGTGGGGCTGCTGCAGTCCACGCTCTGACCCTCTGGTCCTGTCCGTCCTGTCCAACAAAGCGTAAAAGCAAAAGGGAGACCCAAGGTTCCAACCCTGGGGATAATTGTGCAGCATCACAAGGTGCAAGGGTATTTATAGGAATACAGACACCCAGCACTCGGCAAGAGACACCAGCACTCAGTAAGGGACACAGAGACACCCAGCACTCGGCACTCAGCAAGGCAAGGGACGCAGAGACACCAGCACTCGGCACTCAGCATGGCAAGGGACGCAGACACCAGCACTCGGCACTCAGCATGTCAAGGGACGCAGAGACACCAGCACTCGGCAAGGGACGCAGAGACACCCAGCACTCGGCAAGGGACGCAGAGACACCCAGCACTCGGCAAGAGACACCCAGCACTCAGCACTCAGCAAGGCAAGGGACGCAAAGCCACCCAGCACTCGGCAAGGGACACAGAGACACCCAGCACTCGGCAAGAGGTGCAGAGACACCAGCACTCGGCAAGAGGTGCAGCGCCTTGCGGCCAGCAGCAGGGAAAACAAGGGACAGTGAGAGAAAACCGACTTGACAAATGGACTTACAATGTTATCTTAATATGTTACAGTTTTTTATTGTAACGTGGCCATTTTGTGAGGATGGGGAATTATATGTCAAAACAATGTTCTGTCTAACATGGTTCTTTTTTTGTTTTTTGAGAAATTACCATCATTACCACCATTCTGATACTCAGAATTTCTTTTAGTGTTGCAAGACTAACGTGGTAAACATAAAATTCCTACATTTATTGAAAATTATGTACACTCAGTGGAAAGCAAAAAGCCGTTAATGACTGTTTCTTTGAGGAAGATGTGGAAGTAACACAAGCAAGCACTGACATGCTGGGTTAACGCAGTCAGAGCAACTTAATTGGCATTCCTGGGCCCTGTGCAGTGGCCTAGCGGCTGAAATCCTGGCACTGGGATCCCATATGGGCACCGCTTCTAATCCAGCAGCCCCGCTTCCCATACAGCTCCCTGCTTGTGGCCTGGGAAGGAAGTCGAGGTCGAGGACAACCCAGGGCCTTGGGACCCTGTGCCTGCATGGGAGACCTGGAAGAGGCTCTAGGCTTCAGATGGGCACACAGCTCTGGCTGTTGCGGCCAATTGGGGAGTGAATCAACAGATGGAAGATCTTCTTCTCTGTCTCTCCTCCTCTCTATATGTCTGGCTTTGCAATGAAAATAAATCTTTTTTTTTTAAATTTATTTTTATTATTTTTTTTTATTGGAAAGGCGGATATACAGAGAGGAGAGACAGAGAGGAAGATCTTCCGTCCGATGATTTACTCCCCAAGTGAGCGCAACGGCCGATGCTATGCCGATCCGAAGCCAGGAGCCTCTTCCGGGTCTCCCACTCGGGTGCAGGGTCCCAAAGCTTTGGGCCGTCCTTGACTGCTTTCCCAGGCCACAGGCAGGGAGCTGGAAGGGAAGCGGGGCTGCTGGGATTAGAACTGGCACCCATATGGGATCCTGGGCGTGCAAGGCAAGGAGGACCTTAACCACTGCGCCACCGCGCTGGGTCTGCCAATATATATTTTTAAAGATTTATTTTCGGACCTGGCGCAGTGGCGCAAGTGGTTAAGATCCTCACCTAGCACGCCCAGGATCCCATATGGGCGCCGGTTCTAATCCCGGCAGCCCCGCTTCCCTTCCAGCTCCCTGCCTGTGACCCGGGAAAGCAGTCAAGGACGGCCCAAAGCTTTGGGACCCTGCACCCACGTGGGAGACCCGGAAGAGGCTCCTGGCTTCGGATTGGCATAGTATCGGCCATTGCGCTCACTTGGGGAGTGAATCATTGGACGGAGGATCTTCCTCTCTGTCTCTCCTCTCTGTATATCCGCCTTTCCAATAATAAATATATATATATATATAGGCTTTCCTTTTGGGGCTGAGTGGAGGAACTATTTTTTTAAAAAACAACACTTTTTATGTATAGTGTTGTACGCCCGCTGTCCTGTCTTTCCGAAGCAGAGGGGTGGGTGGGGCTGTGAACGCTCCCACCCCACAGAACGTGATCAGTGCAACAGAAACATACCTGCTTGGAGCTCAGCAACCGGCCAGGGATGGATTCTGTCAAGGCAGTCAGTTGGTTCATCCTGCACAGTACTCTAAGCTATTCACACAGGTAACACTTCACAAATTGTTTTACTTGAGAGACAGAGTTACAGGTTGATAGGTAAGTTGGAGCAACATCTTTATATTAAGGGGAAACAATTCTACGTACAGTTCTTCAGTCAGAATGCCTTTACAAGAATGAAATACATGTTTTCTCCCCTTAAGATTTACTTATTTTTAAAGATTTATTTTTATTGAAGAAGCAGGTGTACAGAGATGAGAGATAGAAAGACCCACCCTCTGCTGATTCACTCCCCAAGTGGCAGCAATGGCCAGAGTGAGCTGATCCAAATCCAGGAGCCAAGAGCATCTTCTGGGTCTCCCACAAGGGCCACACACACACACACACACACACACACACACACACACACACACACGACAGTTTGTCAGTTATATTACAATAGCATTGTTAACAAAATTCTGGACTCTGTGTCCGACACAACCACAGGGCCTTTAGCTCCTGCTCATCTTTCTCCCTCTCTACCTTCACCTGCTGACTTGGATGAGCGGATTTGGGGTGTCCCAGCACCCTAAAAGGGTCATGCCATCCCGTGGGTGTGGCCACTGTCTTGCTTGGTGTATCTTGGAGGGCCGGCCGGCAGGAGCACTCCTGTGGGTGCCCCGGGCTGTGTGCACCTTCCAGGAAGCAGTTCCCTGGAGTGTCTCAGCTGGCTCACTGCGATCCTCTCCCTAGGTCGCCCTGGGCTTGGGAGCCTGGTGCCCACACACTGAGCAAACCAAGCCACATGCACTGTGTGGGTTTCCCTGTGAGAAACTGCCATTGCCATGACAAAACAACACATTGGTTCTGGAGTCTGAAGTCAAAATCCTGGGGCTGGCAGGGTTTCCTTCAAAGGCGTTAGGGGAAAATCCTTCCTTGCTTCTTCCAGGTTCTGGTGGGCAGCGTTCCTTGAATTGCAGTTTTACAATTTCATCTTTGGCCCTTCCCCATGTATCTTTCAAACATCCCTCTGCCCCTTAAGGACACCGGCAATTGGAATAAGAGCTCACCCTAACTCCAGGTTCCATCACTGCATCTGCATCCACAGGTGCTGGGGGTTTGCACAATCAACTTACTGTAGTCAGCCACATCTTCAACTGCTTTAAGGTTTATTTGTATTTGAAAGGCAGGGTTACAGAGGGAGAGGGAAAAAGAGATTCCATCCTCTGGGTCTCACTCCCAAGTGGCCACAAAGGCTGGGCTGGGCCAGACGGAAGCCAGGGGCTGGGTTCAAGGACTTGGGCCATTTCCGCTCTCCCAGTGCACGAACGGATAGCTGGGTCAGAAGAGAAGCAGCTGGGACTCAAATTGGTGCCCATATGGGATGCTGCTGTCACTGGTGGTGGCTTTTTTAAAAAACGATTTTAATATTGTTTACACCATTGAGAGGGATACATGCCCGCGTGAAGTCTGATTAGTGTGGGGAGGGTTGAGGTGTGGAACAGTCGATGGGATGTTCAACTTTTCTTTCGCGGGGTGAGGGGAGGAAATGAGGAAGGAAGCACTGCTTGTTGTCCATCTGTGTCAGTGGTAGCCGCTTTCGTTGCCGGCCTCCACATCCTTAGTCTTCTGATAGGTTTAGGGGAAGTCACGTGCCATTACAGTACCCAGGATCTAGTGTGTGTTGGGGGCGCGGGGAAGGAGTGTCTCTTCAGCCTGTTTAGTGCTTTGCTCAAGCTTCTCTGACATCCCAGTGAGATCTCAAAACTAACAACCTGACCTCTTATGCCCAGTCCTTTGGATACCGTGATGGTCCATGGCCTCAGGGCTATTCTAGCCTAGATACCTTGGCAGATGGCTCATGACCTCAGGGTCTTAGCAGTGGTCATAGGTCTTGGAAGGAAATCTTGTACCAGCATTTCAGTGTCCTTAAAGATGGTTCTGGCTAGGTTAGTTTTGCAGGTGAAGAATTGGGGATAGAGAACTTTCAGAACGTGCCCAGTGGCACACAGCCACTAAATAGTGAGGTGGCGATTTGCATTGAGACCCCCTGGCCCCTGAGCAAACAGTGTTGACCAGGAGGCCCACATGGCCGGCCCAGGGATGCCCAGGAGAGCCCAGGCTTCTCTCAGGGTCTCTACAGCTTCCCTTGGTGATTGCTAGTGGCACAAGAGCGGCACCCAGTGGCTTAAGCTGAAAACTACAAGATTGAGGGTGACAAGTCAGATACTGCTCCTCGGGAATGCATATTTGATGTTTGTGGAGATATTCAGGGAAGGATGTGCAGAAGTAGAGATGTAAGCCCGGGGATGTGAGCAGGCTGTGGCCCGGGAAGGGGTCAGGGGGTGGGGGGACAGTGAGTGGGAAGTCAGAGGAGGGGACAGCCTTGTGAGGTCACCAGCCACAATCTTGCCCGTGTGGTCTCACGCTCACACTTTTGCAAAACTCAACTGGAACTCCCCATTTCTTAGCAGCTGACCCCAGAAGAGGCATCAGCCCAGGACACCGAGGCTGCCCGTGAGCATGTCAGCGCTGACCACACTGAGGGTAAGGCCTTCCCAGTGGGGCAGCTCCGGCTCCACCCCAGAACTCCCTGGCTTCAGCAGCCACAGCCATATGCTGGGACCCTGAGCTCCCATGAGCCATGTCGGCCTGCATCGCCCCCCACAAGTTCATGAGCACACATGACTAGTACCGTTTGTGCAGTTTCAGAAAAGGGTACATGTTGGGGCAAAATGGGTATGTGTGCTGGGGTGACAGGCAGGTTCAGTGCCTGGATTCCCGTGGGCCCTTCTCTCCCTCACACTGTTGACTCCAGCTGTTCCCCCACAATATATTACTCCATTCTGCTCCTGAGCTGGCCCTGCCTGGAGTCAGATACTCCAAATCTGCATGGGGGTGTCTGGAGTTGATAACTGCACCATACAATGTCCCCACACATGTCCCTCCTCTCAGCAGTTCAGGACCCACGGGTGCCAGGCCCTGCCCAGAGCTCTCCTCCTCACCTCTGTGCTCAGAAACAACGCCCTGACATGGAGGACTGTGGCTCTCCTCTCACAGCAGAGCAAGGCAGGCCGGGGGTGTCCCAGCACTCCCCCAGGACCACAGACAGGCCTCCACAGGGCGGGGCTGCACGGAGATGGGTTCCTGAATCCTCCATCCCTGGAGCCATCTTTTCATGTGTTGTGGGGCACTGTTGCTACAGTGAAGGCTTTGCATAAAGCAAAATGCTATTTTTGTAAAATCAGATTTAAGCATGTAAGTATACCACTTACAATTCCATATTTACGTATTGAGGAGATTCAGGCAGCTGAGGACCCTGGCCTCGAGAGGCCCACTGACCACACCTGGGTTCCGGGTGGCCTCATTGCCCAGTTGCCTCCCCTGGCCTCCCTGAGGGCTGCTCTGGCCCCTGACCCCTTGCCCCCCACCCCCAGAGGCCTGGCCTGCCCTCACCAAAGCCCTGTGGGTGTCCCAGGCCCTGAGGTCACCCCTGATAGTCATGGCAGCACATTCCTCTGTGCCCAAACTCTGCACTGGCCTTGCTCCCTACACACAGCGACGCCGTTCGGGGCCCCCTAGTGCATTCCTTCACCACCAGGCACCAAGGCTACCCGACCGGGCACAGGACATCAACTAGGCTACCCGGCCGGGCATAGGATATCACCTAAGTTACCCAGCCAGGCACAGAAAGTCACCTAAGTTACCTGTCTGGGCACAGGATATCACCTAAGTTACCTGTCTGGGACATCCCCCAGGTTACCTGACCATGCATGGGACATCACCTAGGTTACCTAGGATGGCGCTCTAGCCTGCACACAAAGGGCTTTGCAGACTTAGCACGGATTCCTCTTGGCCCCCGTGTCTGAAGTGGCCCAGCAGGCGTCTCGGGGAGCCCGCAGCTGCTCCAGCCCCGCTTCCCTGGCAGCTGAGCGGCTCCCGGAGAAGACTCAGGAATCTAGCTCCCCTGGACAGGCTGGCTAACCTGGGTCATGTCGGCCAGTTCCACTTAACTTTCAGTTTGCACGGGACTCGGCTAACAGGGCCTCTGCACACAGAGACAGTGGGCGGGTCAGGGTCGGCACCCCGGGAACCCTGCCCCCTGCCTGGTCGGGGTCGGCACCCCGGGACTCCCTGCCCCCTGCCGGGTCGGGGACGGCACCCCAGGAACCCCTGCCCCCTGCCGGGTCGGGGACGGCACCCCGGGACCCCCTGCCCCCTGCCTGGTCGTGGTCGGCACCCCGGGACCCCCGTCCGGGCACGGGGTGAGTGGGCCTGTTTCCTCCCAGCGGCCGGCGCGCCCTCCGCAAGCAAGAGGCGCAAGGAGGACGAGAGGCCAGCCCCCCGGCCAGCCCGGGCCCCGAGCCCGCCCGCGGCCCCCGGCGTGTGGGGCGGCCTGGAGGTAACGGGGAGGCCGCGGGCGGGCCGGGCAGCGGCGGGCGCGGGGCTCACGGCCGGGCCCCGTCCCGCAGGACGCGCTGTGGCTGCAGGAGGTCTCCAACCTGTCCGAGTGGCTGCGCCCCGGCCCGGCGCCCCGCGCGGCCGCCTCCCCGCCCGCCCGCGGCCCCCAATAAAGCTCTGTGTCCACGCGCGTCTCCTCCGTGACGGGCGGGGCGGGGCCGTGACGTCGCCGGCGCGCCGCGGGTCGCGTCACTGGTGCGCGCCGCGAGTCCGGGCGCCATGGCGGCGCTGGGCGGGGACGGGCTGCGCCTGCTGTCGGTGTCGCGGCCGGAGCGGCGGCTGGAGCGGCAGCCCGAGGCGGCGGCGCTGGCGGGCCCCGGGCTGTGCTGCTGGGTGTCGGTGTTCTCCTGCCTCAGCCTGGCCTGCTCCTACGTGGGCAGCCTGTATGTCTGGAAGAGCGAACTGCCCAGGTGAGGGCACGGCGGCGGGCGGGGCGGGGCCGGGGGCGGGGCCTGGCGGCGGGGGGCGGGGCCTGGCGGCGGGGGGCGGGGCCTGGGCGATGAGCGGAGGGGCGGGGCCGCATCCCTGACCCCCGCCGACCCTGCAGGGACCACCCGGCCGTCATCAAGCGGCGCTTCACCAGCGTCCTGGTGGTGTCCAGCCTGTCGCCTCTGTGCGTGCTGCTCTGGCGGGAGCTGACGGGCATCCAGGTGCGGAAGGGCGGGCAGGGGGTGCGGGGCAGCGCTTGGGGGGTGCCAGGGATGGAGCCAGGCTGATGCCCCCTTTCCTGTGGCTCAGCCAGGCACACCCCTGCTCACCCTGATGGGCGTCCGGCTGGAGGGCATCTTTCCCGCAGCACTGCTGCCCCTGCTACTGACCATGGTGAGCGGCCTGCCCACTCCCTGCTTGGGCCTGGTTGGTGGGAGGGAAGCAGGACATGCGTGCTGTGGCCCCTGGCCCTTGACGAGACACCCGGACTGAGGCCCAAGAGCTTCCCGTCTCTCAAGGCTGGCCCAGGCCAGAAGTTTGGGTGAAGGCCACGGCCTGTGGTGGACGTTCTCGTCCCCATCCCATTTCTGCCCCAGATCCTGTTCTTGGGCCCGCTGATGCAGCTGACGATGGACTGCCCCTGTGACCTGGCAGCAGGGCTAAGGGTCGTCATGGGTGAGTCGGGGACACTGGGGCAGTGGTGCAGGTAGCCCAGGGTGCTACCCCGGTGATCAGGGGATCACCGTGATCTGTTGAGTCTGGAGCCATGCCGTTTCCCTTGGTACATCTCGTCTGTCCGGCGGGACCTGTGGCTGGTGACCTCTCAGTGGTTCCTGCCCATAGGGTGTCCTCGCCCTGCTTGAAGGAACCTCAGAGCAGTGCTCCCTGCTTCCCACAGGTTGGGGCTAAGTGTCCATGGCAGTGGCGTCCCGTGGGGCTCCTCCCTGTAGGTCCAAGCACTGTCTCTGTGGATTCTAAGAGTGTGGCCGCCGTCTCCCCTTATGCCAGTTGTCTGGAGCCTTGGCCCCCAGGAGCCCGTGGCCAGGCTAGGTTGTGGGGAGCGGCCTGGGAGCCTCCGGTTCAACAGGTCACCCTTAGCGTGTCCCGCCCCTCAGCTCCCCGCGCCTGGGCCCGCTGCCTCACAGACCTGCGCTGGCTGCGCAACCAGGTGATTGCCCCACTGACGGAGGAGCTGGTCTTCCGGGCTTGCATGCTGCCCATGCTGGCGCCCTGCACGGGCCTGGGCCCCGCCGTGCTCACCTGCCCACTCTTCTTCGGGGTTGGTGAGTCCGCCCAGCCCGCCCCTGTGGGCTCTTGGTGTCTGGGTGGGCCTGCGGGGAGGCAGTGCGGGGGGACAGCTGACATGTCCTGACCCCCTCAGCCCACTTCCACCACATCATCGAGCAGCTGCGCTTCCGCCAGAGTAGCGTGGGGAGCATCTTCCTGTCTGCAGGTGAGTCCTGGGACGCCCCACCTGCTGCAGGGAGAGTGGGGGCTCTAGACTTGCAGGAGCCGGGGCGCAGAGCAGCCAGACACAGGGGTCTCTGTGCTGCCCCCACGGGACAGGACTGTCACTCCTGCCTTTCTTCCCCAGCCTTCCAGTTCTCCTACACGGCCGTCTTCGGTGCCTACACCGCCTTCCTCTTCATCCGCACAGGTTGGTGCTGGGGCATCGGGAGCCACGGGAACGGATGGAGGAGGGGCAGCAGGTGTCCTCTGCCCTCAGCCGGGGAGGGGAGGAGGCAGAGACTGGTGTGCGGGTGCGGGTGTCTGGGTGCGGCAGGGGAGGCTCGGCCTCCTGCAAGAGGCGGGCCAGGCCCCGGAAGGTGGCAGGTGCTCCCTCAGCCACCCTGTCTCCCCCAGGACACCTCATCGGGCCTGTTCTCTGCCACTCCTTCTGCAACTACATGGGCTTCCCGGCCGTATGCGCAGCCCTGGAACACCCACAGAGGTGGCTGCTGCTGGCAGGCTATGCCCTGGGTGTGGGGCTCTTCCTGCTCCTGCTACAGCCTCTCACGGACCCCAAGCTCTACGGCAGCCTGCCCCTGTGTGTGCTGCTGCAGCGGGCGGGGAGCACAGAGCTCCCCCTGTGCTCCTGACACCTCCTGCGTGCACCCACGGACTCGGGCTCCTCAGCCCCTCTGCAGCGCGGGTACTGCAGGGAGGGCCGGCTGGGCTCCCCAAGATCTCAGGAATTTTTATAGGGGACTGAAGCCAGAGCTAGTTCATCCCAGGGACCAAGGGAAGGAGCAGAGATTCCCCCAGGGTAGCCCCTCCGCAGCAGGGTTGGGGGGCCGCGGCTGGGCCAGGAGCCAGCACCCCCGCGGCCTGCCGCCCCTCTGCATCTGTAACACAGCTGCTTGGGTTGGTTTTTGATTTTTGTTTGTTTAATTTATAAACCCCTTCCCTCGCTTCCCAGGGTTTTCTCATTGTCGTTTTGCATCAGGACTTTGTATTGGGATATTAAAGAGATTTAACTTGGGTAACACGGCCTCAGGTCCTTGGCAGTCAGTCCACTTGGGATCTGGGGTGTGGACTCCAGCTGGAGTCCCAGCCACACGTCAGGATGTGGGGACAAGGTTTGTGCCTGTGCTTTGCTGCAGGGTCAGGTGGGACAGTGACCTGACATGGCCCAGTGCTGGCGACTCCAGCCAGTGTCCTGGAACATGGAAGTATGGCTAACGGGGCTTCCACCAAGCCCCCCTGAGTGCATGAGCCTTGGCTGACAAGGACCCAGGGACTCATCCTGGGGACCTGGGACACGGGTTGCTGCCCTGAGAGGAGCTACTCTGCCAGGCAGTGCAGCCAGCTGGGCATCTCAGAACCCACCTGGTCCTGCCTACCTGCTCTCGGCCTGCTGTGGCTCCCGTAGCCCGGGAGCCCACACTTGTGTTTCTGAGTTTGGAAAGGATGCTCAGGTCACTCCCTGTGGTGGCCCGGGTGGCCTGAAAGCTCCACACCCCACTCTCGAAAGATCCCCAGCCTGTGCAGTGCGGTGGGCATGGGACCCATGGGGTCTTGTCCACAGAGGGCAAGGCCGGGGCTCACTGTGACAGGCCAATCTCAAAAGGAGAGCACCAATGCCTGCCCCCTCTCCCCCAGAGTTCACACCAGAGCAGGAACCCAAGCACCGAGAAGGGCCCAGGCCTGAGGGTTGGCTCTGGAGTTCCAGAGGCCAGGACCCGTGATCCCCAGCCCTGCACCCTTCCTGGCCTCCCACCATCCCACACTTCCCAGTCAATCACTTTCTGCTCTTGCCTGGAGGGAGGGGAGGCTGGCCTGGGCTAAGGCAGTATGGCAGGCTGGGAGGCGTGGCTGCTCACGGCCCAGGGGTGGCGAGCACTTTCTGGTGCGAATGTCCTGTGGCAGCTGCATCCTTGAGGTCACAGGTATTACTGCCCTCGCGGGGGGAGAAGAGCTCACCCGCCTCCTGCTTGGGGCCCGGCGGGCGGGGGGATGCTGTTGAGGCAGCCTTGCCCCCCTACTGAGCAGCAGGGCCAGGGGCCAGGGCAGCTGCAAAGAACCAAGTAGCTGCAAGGACCCAGCCTGGTAGGCAGGGCAAGCCGACTTTATTGAGCAAATGTCCCGGGACCTGGGCAGGGGCCTCCCCTACCTGTGTCCTAGGACCCCTCCCCCATGCCAGGCTTGCCCGCAGGAGGAGGGTCCTCATTTGGCAAGAGATGATGTGAGTAGCTGTCGGCCAGCGAGAGGGCCCTGCGGGCAGGTCTCCTCGGGTCCCACGAGGGCAGTGTGCGGGGCCAGCCCTTCTGCTGGCCTGGGCCTGCCCAGGGCGCTCAGCTGCTGTCAAGATGGGATCACCAGGCTGCGGGTGCTGGGCGAGCTCACTCGATCTCCAGGATGAGGTCGTCACCTTCCAGCGTCATGTCCTTGGTCACGTGCACCTTGCGCACGGTGCCCTCCACGGGTGAGGTCACCACAGTCTCCATCTTCATGGCACTGAGCACGCAAAGGGGCTGGCCCTTGGCCACCCGTGCCCCAGCGGCCACCTTGATGTCAATCACCTTCCCCGGCATGGGCGCCCCGATCTGCCCCTTCACGTCCTTGAGGGCTTTGGGGTGGAAGTGCATCTCCTGCAGGCGGGAGGAGGGCCGTGAGGCACCACGCTTGGCCTGTGCCCGCCTCCCACCGGCCCCAGGGAGCCCACCTTCATGGCCTGTGTGTCCTTGACCAGGATGGAGCGCAGCTGCCCGTTGAGCTCGAAGAACACCTGCCTCTGCCCGGCCCGGTTCAGGTCGCTCACGGCCAGGGCCTTGATGTGCAGCGTCTTGCCCCGCTCCAGCTCCACCTGCAGATGGCGGGAGCTCAGAACCGGCCCTGCGCACCGTGGGGGAGCTGGGGGACATGTGATGACCCCGCACCACTGACCTCAAACTCCTCTGCAATCTTGGGTCCCTGCAGGAAGAGGCGCGTGTTGAGGCTGTCCAGGGGGCCAAAGGTGGCGGTGAAGTCCTTGAACTGGGCGAAGACATCAGGGTACATGGCAGCGGACAGCACATCCTCGGGCGTCACCTCCTCCCCGTGCCGCTCCACCAGTTCCTTCTCCAGTGCCTGCAGGTCCAGCGGTGGGAGGGAGGCTCCGGGGCGCCCCTCAACCCTCGGCAGGTCCTTCAGCACCTGCGGGCAGAGCCAAGGGTCAGCTGCAGCCCACCTCCCAGCCCTGGATTCCTGTGGGGTTGGGGGTCTGGCCTACCTTTGAGCGCAGGGGCTCGGGGAAGCCCCCATGGGGGACTCCAATGTAGCCCTGCAGGAACTCCACCACGGAGCGTGGGAATGACAGCTCCTCCGCCTGGGCCTCGGCTTCAGCCCGGCTCAGCCCATTCTGCACCATGAACTGCGCCAGGTCCCCCACGATCTTGGAGGAGGGCGTCACCTGAAGAGAAGGGGCCCCTGGCAGTCTGGTCCACAGGCGCAGAGCGAGATGGAGGCAGGATGGGCGGGGCTGGCTGGGCAGAGGCTCACCTTGATGAGATCACCCAGCATCTGGTTGGCTTCCACGTAGGCCTTCTTGACCTCCTTGAACTTGGAGCCCAGCCCCATGCTGTGGGCCTGGAAGTGCAGGTTGGTGTACTGGCCCCCCGGGATCTCATTCTCATACACGTCAGAGTTGCCGGACTTCATGGTAGCTGTGCAGTCGAAGGCTGCGTACAGTCCCCGGGCCCCCTCCCAGTACTCGCTGTAGTCAAAGACGCGCTCCAAGGGCACCTCTGTGGGGAGGCCTGAGTTAGGGGGGCTCTGCCCGGGGCCGGCTCGGGAGGCAACCGGGCCAGAATGGGCACTGGACACTGGGCGGGGACGGCTGTCCTTACCTGTGTCCAGGGGGGTCCCTCGGGTACAGGCCACCAGGGCTCCCATGCTGGGCTGTGAGGTCATCCCAGACATTGAGTCAGCAGCCACATCTACCACGTCAGCACCTGCCTGGGCACAGGCCAGCATGGCGGCCACGCCCGCGCCGGAAGTGTCGTGGGTGTGAATGTGCAGGGGCAGGTCGGGGAAGCGGTCTCGCAGGGAGCTGACCAGCAGCGTGCAGGCTGCCGGCTTCAGCAACCCCGCCATGTCCTGGTGGGAGGGAGAGGGCAGAGGAAGATGGTGAGGAGAGGGCACGGTGCCCAGGGTGGGGGCATATGGCAGGAGGGAGATGGTGAGGAGGGGGCACGGTGCTCGGGGTGGGGGCACGTGGCAGGAGGGAGACGGTGAGGAGGGGGCACGGTGCCCGGGGTGGGGGCACGTGGCAGGAGAGAGACCGTGAGGAGGGGGCACAGGGCAGGCTGCAGCTCCGACACCTTGATGCACAGGATGTGGGTGCCTGCTCGCACCAGCTCCTCCGCCAGGTCCATGTAGTACTGCAGCGAGTACTTGGTGCGGCTGGGGTCGGCCACGTCCCCCGTGTACGAGATGGCAGCCTCCACCACGGCCCCGGCGCTGCCCGCAGCCTCCATGCCCAGCAGCATGTTCGGCAGGTAGTTGAGGGAGTCGAAGATCCGGAAGACATCCATGCCATTCTCCTTGGCCACCTCGCAGAACCTGGGAGAGGTGGGCCAGGGTGAGGCCCCCTCACGCCCCTGCCGCCTCATGCTGAGCAGCAAGGAGCCCGCTGGTCCCCAGCCCCGTCCCCCTGCCAAGCAGCAGCCCCACAGCCCGGCCCCCCGCTCACTTGAAGACCACGTTGTCGGGGTAGTTGGTGTAGCCCACGGCATTGGCGCCCCGCAGCAGCATCTGGAAGGGGATGTTGGGGATCAGTTCCCGCAGCTCCTGCAGCCGCCGCCACGGGCACTCGTAGAGGAAGCGCATGGCAACATCAAACGTGGCTCCTGCACAGGATGAGAGGCCGGGGTCAACGGGCATCTGCCAAGGGCCCTGCTCATTGCTACACACCCCCTCCCCCAACTGGTCCACAAAGTAGCCCTGGCCAGCCCATCTGCTGACCCCACTTCCCCTGCCCCCTCTTCTTGCCTCAGGGGGTCTGCCTCAACGTACACGTGCTGGTATCCCCCATCCTATGTCCCACACAGTCTGGGACAGCCCAGTAGCCCCGGCTGGCCCTGAGCGGGGTCTGTGTGTCCAACATGTGACACCCCCTGCTGCAGCCCCCGCTCTAGGTTTCTCACAGCTGGCCTACCTCCCCAGTTCTCCATGCTGAAGAGGTTGCTGAAGTTGTGGGCCACATAGGGGGCGATCTTTTTCAGATCATGGGTGCGCACGCGCGTGGCCAGCAGTGACTGGTGGGCGTCCCTGAAGGTGGTGTCCATCAGCAGCAGCCCCTGGTGGCGCCTCACGGCGCGAGCGAAGCCCTCAGGCCCCTCTTGCAGCAGGATGTCTCTGAAGCCAGTAGGGGGTGGGCCTAGCACAGAAAGGGTCATGGGTGCCCACCCTGCAGTGGCCGTCTCCCTGCCATGTCCCCTCCGGGCTGCCGATGGCTCTCACCTACCTATGGGCACTGCAGGGACAACAGGGTCCGTGGGGCTTGGGCTGGCCTTGACAGGGATGGGGGTGGTGGGGCCATTTACCATGACGTGTCCTGGGTGGGGGAGAGTGCAGGTCACAGGTAAGGATGGGTGGAGAATCCAAGGAGAGGTGGGCCCAGGGTTGGAGCACTCCCGGGGACCCTACACCCTCCAATGACATGGTGGCTCCTGGGTCCCAGTAGCGTGGGCTTGCTGGGGACCATGCCAGGGAAAAGGGGCCCGAGGGCAGGAGCAGGGAGGGTGAAGGGGGGACCGGGGCGAACCGAGGTAGTGCAGCAGCTTCTGGGCTCGGTTCTGCGCCGGCCGCAGCTGGAAGAGCTCGGGGTTCTCGTCGATGAACTGGGTGTCCACGGTGCCCGCCAGGAACTGCTGGTTGTTGAGCACGTTCTGCAGGAAGGGGATGTTGGTCTGCAAGACAGAGGTGGAAGGGAGGGTGTCAGTGTGACCAGGACAGGGGTGGGAGACCCAGGGTACACCCAGACCAGCGCTCCCCATGGGCTTGGGCACTGCACCTTCTCACTGCATGCCCTGCTCCCTCCACGCTTGCCAAGTGTAGCCCTCCCGCCTCCTCCCCCAGACCAGCCAGAAGCAGGTGTACTCCACTCACGATCCGGCCCTGGGGGGGTACTGCCTACTGAACAAGGCTGGGGGGCTGCCCCTGCTTACACTGCCCTCTCCCTGGGGCCTCACCAAAGGGGTCCAGAAGCTGTGGACTCAGCCTATCGGTAGCATCAAGACCCAGGGTACAGGTGGCTCCTGCCCTCGGCTGCGCCCACAACTGCCACCTGTGCCCTTCATTGCCACCTCAGCTCAACCACACAGTGCTTCCTAGTGGGCCCTAGGGAGGGGTGCGTTAGCTACAGGTCGGCTCATCCCTAGGGTGCTTCCCCATCTATGTACCACTAGGTGCTGCCTGGTACCATGTGGGCATTGCCTGATACTGGGGTTTGTGAGCTGTGAACAGAGGAGCTCTCCTAACTGGCCAGGTGACAGCCTGAGACGAGGGTAAGCTGGGTTCCCTGGAGGACCCGGGAGCCAGCACCCTGGGGTGCCCATGACCATGAGGTCCCATGGCTGGGCCTTCATGTGCACCGTGAGCACTGCCTGTGGAGTCGGTCCTGGCGGCCTCCCACCTGCCCCAAGGAATTGGGCACATTGCTGCTGGACCAGAGCCTCCTCACACTTGGCTTTGCAGAAGCCACCATCAGGACCCAGAGCCGTATGGGGCAAGCATCATCAGACCAAGAGACCCCAACCTGCCCAAGCTTGGCACCTGCACCCCCCTCTCCCGCCCCGCACCGGAAGCCGGCTCCCGGGGGAGAGGCGCGCCTCCATCAGCTTCCAGCACACGCGCTGGCAGAAGCACACGTTCGGAGTGAAAGCGTTGAAAAGTGTCTGGCGCCACAGTAAAGAAGCCGACCTGGGCTGGGCGGGATCCGACCCCTCATTTCACAAATGCAGCGCTCAGTGCCCCTCACCCCTAGATCTGCGGGAGGCAATGGGGGGCGGCGGCTAAGGAACCGGCCCAGGGCTGCGCTGCAGTGGAACTCATCTCTGCCTTCCCCGAATCCCCAGGCGCGCAAGGAGGGGGCGTCTGTCGCGGGAGGTGGCAACTACCCCGGCTCCCCAACTGCGCTGGCCACCACCAAGGACCCAGGTCCGAGGCGGGAAGCGCGCGTGGCCGCCTTCCCCCAGGACCTGCCTCCCCCCAGCCCGGCCCGCGGGGAGGGCGGGCGCCAGGACCACAAGGCTCCCGGCAGCGTGCGGCGCCGGCCAATGGGGCCGCAGAGCGGAGCTCGGGCAGGCGCGGGGCGGGCGGGGCGCGGCGCCTGCCAGGAGGCCGAGCCCTCTGGGCCCCACCCCGCAGCACCCCTCCTGGGGGCGCAGCCCCAGCCCCCCGTGACCCGTGCCTGTCGGGGACCCTCCACGTGACTCGGTGTTGCAGAACAGCTGTGACCTTCAGCGTGTCTGTGAGGGTCCCGGCGCCAGTGCGGGTGTGCGCTCGGCCCTGCCCGTGGGTGCGGGGGTGTGGGCATGTGTGGGCGTGTTAGGGAGGGTGCCCAGCGACATGTGACAGAGCCCGGTCTCCGGGAGATGGTGGAGGAGCCCGCGAGCTGGCGCTTTGTGTGGCGGGCTGCAGAGTGAGGCTCGCGCGGCGCGGTGCAGGATGCCGGGGCGCCAGGGCGGCCGGGGGCGCGCGCGCCGGTGCTCGGGTGAGCGCGCTGCGGCAGCGCCGGGGGGCAGCGCGGCGGGCCCGCGCCGGCCCGGGCCTCGGGTGTGACTGGGCGCCATCCGTGGGCGCTGCAGCGGCCGCGTGTCCCCGTGACCTCGGCAGCCGGCTCGGGCCGGGTGGATCCCCGCGCGCCCCTCCCCGTTCGCTCTCCACGTGCGTGGCCACGGCGCGCGCGCCCGCGAGCGCGCGCCCGCTCGCCTGTCGCCGCCGCCACCACCACCACCGCGAACCGCGCCGGGAAAAGGAGCCGGGAACCGAGGGAGCCGGGGCCGCGGGCCCGAGCGCCATGGGCCGGAAGGCGCACGAGGAGGGACCGGACAGCCCTGGGCCTCGCCCCCGCGGGAGAACGGCCTGGAGTCGGCGGGGGCCGGCCGGGCCCGCGGGGAGGCCGGCCCGCGCCCCCTGAGCGACCGACACCAGGTGAGGGGGCCGCGGGGCGCTGCGCGGGAGCGAGAGTGGGCCGCGAGGACCAGGACCAAGCAGGGGGATCCAGCAGGCGCCTTGCTCAGCGGGGGAGGGGATGACGGTTCCAGGGGACACCCGAGAAAGGAAGTTCCGGGACCCTCCCTGCTCTCGGCCCACCTCCGCTTCCTGCCTGGCGCCTCACCTTGTCCCCTGCACCTGACTACCCCCTAACTGGTTGGAAAATGTGACCTTTACCCGTAGGGGGCTGGCTAGGCAGGCCCCAGCTGTCCCTCGTCCCTGTGGCCCCATTGGGCCCCTGAGCCAACCCCTCCCCAGGCCCAGCTGGCCCCTGTGGCTGCTGTGCCTTAGGCACCAGTCGGGGCACCTGCCCAGCCCCACCTGTGCCTGGGCCGTGGCCCTTCCCCACAGGGCGCTCACCATGGCCCCGCCGCTCCTGCTGCTGCTGCTGGCCAGTGGAGCGGCCGCCTGCCCGCTGCCCTGCGTGTGCCAGAACCTGTCCGAGTCGCTCAGCACTCTCTGTGCCCACCGGGGCCTGCTCTTCGTGCCGCCCAACGTGGACCGGCGTACGGTGGAGCTGCGACTGGCTGACAACTTCATCCAGGCCCTGGGGCCGCCTGACTTCCGCAACATGACGGGTCTGGTGGACCTGACGCTGTCCCGCAATGCCATCACCCGCATCAGCGCCCGCGCCTTCGGGGACCTGGAGAGTCTGCGCTCCCTGCACCTGGATGGCAACAGGCTGGCCGAGCTGGGCAGCGGCAGCCTCCGTGGCCCCATCAACCTGCAGCACCTCATCCTCAGCGGCAACCAGCTGGGCCGCATCGCGCCCGGCGCCTTTGACGACTTCCTGGACAGCCTCGAGGACCTGGACCTGTCTTACAACAACCTCCGGCAGGTGCCCTGGGCCGGCATCGGCTCCATGCCCGCCCTGCACACCCTCAACCTGGACCACAACCTCATCGACGCGCTGCCGCCCGGCGCCTTCGCCCAGCTAGGCCAGCTCTCCCGCCTCGACCTCACCTCCAACCGCCTCACCACGCTGGCGCCCGACCCACTCTTCTCCCGCGGGCGCGACGCCGAGGCCTCGCCCGCGCCCCTGGTGCTCAGCTTCAGCGGGAACCCTCTGCACTGCAACTGTGAGCTGTTGTGGCTGCGGCGGCTGGCCCGGCCCGACGACCTGGAGACGTGCGCCTCACCGCCCAGCCTAGCTGGCCGCTACTTCTGGGCTGTGCCCGAGGCCGAGTTCTCGTGTGAGCCACCCCTGATCGCCCGCCATACACAGCGCCTCTGGGTGCTGGAGGGCCAGCGGGCCATGCTGCGCTGCCGGGCCCTGGGTGACCCCGCACCCACCATGCACTGGGTGGGCCCCGACGACCGGCTGGTTGGCAACTCCTCCCGGGCCTGGGCCTTTCCCAATGGGACCCTGGAGATTGGGGTGACGGGGGCCGGAGACGCAGGGGGCTATACCTGCATTGCTACCAACCCTGCCGGCGAGGCCACAGCCCGAGTTGAGCTCCGCGTGCTGGCCTTGCCCCACGGCGGGAATGCCAGTGCTGAGGGTGCCCGCCCCGGACCCTCGGACATTGCAGCCTCCGCCCGCACCGCGGCTGAGGGTGAGGGGACTCTGGAGTCTGAGCCCGCCGTGCAGGTGACAGAGGTGACCGCCACCTCCGGGCTGGTGAGCTGGGGGCCAGGGAGGCCGGCCGAGCCCGTGTGGATGTTCCAGATCCAGTACAACAGCAGCGAGGACGAGACCCTCATCTACCGGTGAGGACCCCCCACCTCTGCACCACTCTCCCCATCGGAGCAGAGAAGATGGGTCCCCTGCTGCGAGGGTGGGAAGGTCCTGAGCTGCCTCGGGTGGCCCAGGCGTGACCGAGCTCGGGGTCTGTCCCGTGCTGGAGCCGTGGCCCTGGCATCATTTGTGTTTCTGCTGCTGCCATGCCCTGCCCCCTCCTGGGTGTTCCCTGAGCCGTGCCCGCACAAGGGCCCATCTAGCACCCTGCCCTGCACGTGCTGGCCTGCCCCCTGCCTCCCTGGGCTCGCGAGGCTGTTGGGGGTTGGGGGAAGCAGATGCCCAAGGCCCTGGCTGGGGCAGGGGGGCAGGCTGGACTACAGCCATGGTGCCCTGACCACCTGCCCATGCCCACAGGATCGTCCCAGCCTCCAGCCACCACTTTCTGCTGAAGCACCTGGTCCCTGGAGCTGACTATGACCTCTGCCTGCTGGCCCTGTCGCCTGCTGCTGGGCCCTCTGACCTCACGGCCACCAGGCTCCTGGGCTGTGCCCACTTCTCCACCCTGCCAGCCACGCCCCTGTGCCACGCCCTGCAGGCCCACGTTCTGGGCGGGACCTTGACTGTGGCCGTGGGCGGTGTGCTGGTGGCTGCCTTACTGGTCTTCACCGTGGCCTTGCTGGTTCGGGGTCGGGGGGCTGGGAACGGCCGCCTCCCCCTGAAGCTCAGCCACGTGCAGTCCCAGACCAACGGAGGCCCCAGCCCCACCCCTAAGGCCCACCCACCGCGGAGCCCCCCGCCACGCCCCCAGCGAAGCTGCTCCTTGGACTTGGGAGATGCCGGGGGCTGCTACGGCTATGCCCGGCGCCTCGGGGGGGCCTGGGCCCGCAGGAGCCACTCGGTGCATGGGGGGCTGCTTGGGGCAGGGTGCCGGGGGGTGGGGGGCAGCACAGAGCGGCTGGAGGAGAGTGTGGTGTGAGAACGCCCCGAGGTGTGAGCAGTGTGGGCCGGAAGGCCCACCCTGGGGGTGCACCCCAGTTTTTATCCTCGGTACCTCAGGCTCCCCTGTGCACTTGGCGGGACAGGGGACCCTTCCACTGCTCTGGCCTCCTAACTGAGCTGAGGGCCCAGGTCCCTCCGACAGGTGCTCACGGCCACCAGGGCAGGGCTTCAGCCACCAAGTGGGCGTCTTGTTTCTATTTATAATAAAATCATTGGGGACACCTTGGTGCTCACCTATGTTCTCGCCCTGAGGGATGGCACGGGGCTCTGGGTGGGCCTGCCAGGCCCAGGGAGCGGGGGGTGAGGGCCTCTGCAGTGGGGGCAACACAGGGCAGCAGTCCAGTCCATGGGCCTGGCATTTGTCAGAGCATGGCAGGCCCAGCAACCAGCAACCGTGGGCCTGGGCAGGACGTCTAGTGATGCCCAGGGAGCCATGGGGGATGGCAGCCTCTCTGGGCACGTGCAGGGCCCTGGCTGGTGGCGTTCGGAACACCACTCATTGGAAAGCCCCTGCAGCTCCCAATGCTGTTGTCACCTCAAAAGAGCTGGGGATCCCACGGCCCTCCTGTTGGCCCAAGGGAGGCGAATGCCCCGAGAAGCCACGTGGCCAGAGCCAGGCCCACTGCTGTCTCCTCTATACAACCCTTAGGCAGAAGTCCTGGCATCCTGGTCCTGGACAGTACCAGCCCGCTAGGGGCAGCTGCCTGGAGAGGGCAGAGGTGGCAGTGACACCCGGGGCCTGACCGGGACAGGCTGCAGCATGCGGGCTATACCCAGCAGCTGGGGGGATGTGGAGGGGGGGTTCTGTGCATGGGTGCACCTGCCATCTGCCTCCCCTCCCCCAGGCTCAGGACCATAGTCAGTTTTTGAATAGGGATTCTGAACAGGAAGGGGGCAGGGCCAGCCGTCTGGGAACTGGCTTATAGCCATGGCCTGGGCACCCATCTGGGGAGGACAGGGGCACCCTCAGACTCCAGACACACCCTCCACTTTGCTGGCCCTGCGGTCACGGGCGCCACGGTCCCCTCCTCCACCTTGAGGCAGTGTGGTGTCTAAGGGTGTGTTCCTGGGCCCTCCAGGGTGGGGGACAAGCCCAAGGCCCAGGGCACCAGCTGGGCACATGGGGGTGGGGGACTGGGCGTGAGGATGAGGAGGGAGCAGCTGGGGGCTCCAAGACGTGCTGGCCACGCTGCCCCTCCCAACACCGACACCGCAGCAGATCAGGTGGAGCGCGGGTAGCTGGATGCACCTCGGCCGAGCGTGCAGGACGCAGGCCCCGGCGGAGCTGCCAGCTCCCACAGGAGAGCAGAACTCGGCTCCCCACTCCCGCCCAGGGACACCCATTTCTCCAGGTGGCTGCGGGCGAGGCCTGGCAGGCGCAGGCCTGGGGCTTCCCTCCTCCTGCCCACACAGGCCCTACCCGAAAGCCTCTGTTCCCACTGCACACAGGGGAGAGGACCATCATGTGACCTCCGGGGGATAGCCACATGGCCCGGTCTGCCCTGCACAGCCCCAGCCCCTGAATCTGATGGGCAGTGGGGTGCAGCTGGCAGCTCAGCAGCGGGCATGGGCGAGCAGACCTAGCAGGGTTGCCCGATCCTGATGCCCTGCCAGTTCGATGGCAGTGCCCACAGAATAGGGCAGCAGGCACTGGCTTCAGAGGGTGGCTGGTATTTGAGTTCACGGACTTGCACGAAGCCAACAGAGGCACAGGGCAACAGACTCGGCTCTGCAGACCCCCAGGCGTCTCTAGTCCCCTGAGCGTGGCACTGTCCCCAGAGTGCCTGGCATTCTGCACACTCCAGGCTGGAGATCCCATCACCCACAGGGCTGAGGCACCTGTCCTGGGGGGTGAGGAGGGGCGGTATTTTCCTACACGCTCCCCAGGGACTTGGGGTAGCTGCCCACAGCTGCGTTGCAGAACTGGTGTCTGAGGGCTTGTGACCTGGGTCCAGCCTGGCACCCAGGCATGCACAGGGAACCTGGGTCAGGCTGAGGTGCATGGGCACCGAGGGACAACCAGCAACGCCAGAGGAGCCAGGAGGGTCTCCGGAACAAGGAGAGCCAGAGGAGCTCTGACCTGGACTCGGTCCTGGCTGACTGGGACTAAGCCCCGGCTGGGGCAAGGCCACCAGGGGTCCCAGGGTGGTGGGGGCAAACCCTGGCCTCTCACCTTCACACCCCGCACGCGGAACTCAGCCAGGGCTCGGCTCATCTTGGTGGCGGCCGTGGGGTGGTCCTTGCCGTGGGCAATGACTTTGACCAGCAGAGAGTCGTAGTGGGGGGAGATGACAGCCCCTTGGAAGGCAGAGGCGTTGTCCAGGCGAATCCCCATGCCTTCCCCACTCCGGAACACCTGGGGAGACAGGCCGAGGGGGCCCCAGTCAGGACAGGGCTCCTCACAGGGACACGGTGAGCAGGGGGTGCAGGTGAGAGCGGCTCGACTGGGCGCAGCCTGCAGGCTCCTGCCAGTAACCAGAGCTGGGGTCAAGGGAGGCCTGCTCACCCCCAGGCCTGAGGCCAGGCCCAAGGCCAGCCTGACCCTCAGCGCTCCAGGCATCCATCCACCGGTCACAGCCCGCCAGCATCCCATCCAAGCTGGACCCCCAGGACTCCGCAGCTGAAACAAGTTGCTGCTCCCCCAAGACCCCCAACACAGATAGGGACACGTGCTGGGACAGTGAGTGTGGAAGGACCCGAGATAGCTCGCGGAGGTTGTGGCTTCTGACCAAGGCCTGAGGTGTGCAGAAGGAAAAATGGAGGAGGAGACAGAGGAACTAGAGCAGAAGCTGCAGAGAAGGGATGGGAAGGGAGCCTGCGGGCACCACGACAGACAGCCCAGGGACCCTGCCCGGCTCACCTGCAGGCCCCAGCTCACACCCCAGCACCCACACCCCAGCTCACCCTCCAGCACCCACACCCCAGCTCACCCTCCAGCACCCACACCCCAGCTCACACCACAGCTCTCACCCCAGCACCCACACCCCCAGCTCACACCTCAGCACCCACACCCCAGCTCACCCTCCAGCACCCACACCCCAGCTCACACCTCAGCACCCACACCCCAGCTCACCCTCCACCCACACCCCAGCTCACCCTCCAGCACCCACACCCCAGCTCACACCACAGCTCTCACCCCAGCACCCACACCCCAGCTCACCCTCCAGCACCCACACCCCAGCTCACCCTCCAGCGCCCACACCCCAGCTCACCCTCCAGCACCCACACCCCAGCTCACACCACAGCTCTCACCCCAGCACCCACACCCCAGCTCACCCTCCAGCACCCACACCCCAGCTCACACCACAGCTCTCACCCCAGCACCCACACCCCCAGCTCACACCTCAGCACCCACACCCCAGCTCACCCTCCACCCACACCCCAGCTCACACCCCAGCACCCACACCCCAGCTCACACCACAGCTCTCACCCCAGCGTCCACACCCCCAGCTCACACCTCAGCACCCACACCCCAGCTCACAGCACAGTTCTCACCCCAGCGTCCACACCCCCAGCTCACACCCCAGCACCCACACCCCAGCTCACCCTCCAGCGCCCACACCCCAGCTCACCCTCCAGCACCCACACCCCAGCTCTCACCACAGCTCTCACCCAGCGTCCACACCCCCAGCTCACACCTCAGCACCCACACCCAGCTCACAGCACAGTTCTCACCCCAGCATCCGCACCCCAGCTCACACCCCAGCATCCGCACCCCAGCTCACACCACAACTCTCACCCCAGCGTCCACACCCCAGCACAGGAAGCCAACTCAGAGTGTGAGCTGAGTGCAGAGGGACCAGGGAGGCCAATGGGCATGCTGGAGCTTGTGGGAGGGGAGAGATTTTGGGGGTCATGGGTGACACTGACACGCACACACACACACACACACACACACAGGTAAGCACTCCAGCGAGGCAATGCGCAGAGGTGAGCTCCAGCAAGAAGAGCGACCCCAGGGTGCACACAGGATGGCAAGTAGGGGCAGGCCTGTGGCGAGCCCACCACACCACGGTCCTGCTCTGAAGGGGCCCATGTTCGATCCGAAGGAACTTAATAAAATATTTAAAGGGGAGTCTTCAGCTGTAAACAGGAACCATCAGCTAAAAATACTCTGTGGTCACAGCAGCCTCAGAAACACGGCCTCAGCGTGGGTGTGGAGGAGACCATGTCTGTCCGTGGGGCCTAAAGCCCACACTGCCCCCTCCCGGGAGCCTGGCTGCACCCTTCCGTGGGTGCCCATACTTCTAGGAATACAGAGCAGGCACTTCCCACCTCCCTCGCCCGCTCAGGCATCCAGGAGCTAGACAGTGCTCAGCCACAGCACCTGCACCCTACCCGGCCCTGGGCTCTGAGCAGCGGAAAGAAACAGGGCAGGGACATGCCTCCAGGTGCCCATCTGCCCCAGCCCGAGGGAGGGATGGTGAATGCAGCTGCCTCAGGACTCCTGCAGGAAGGTACAAAAGGCAGGCCTGGCTCTGCTCCTGGGGGGCTCTGTCCCTGGGGGCCCGGCCTTGCTCCTGGGGGGCCCAGCCTTGCTCCACAGGCCCCGACCTTGCCCCCTGGGCATTTGCTCCACCAGCTGGGACACACTTGTTGCTCATACTCACGGGCAGCCTCCTCCCTTGGACGAGGTTCCCTTCACTCTTGCACAGTTCAGGCAGCCCAGGCAGAGCCTGCCTCCACCATCAGGCTTAAGGCGGCTGCAGGCTGAGGTGCTGGCGGCGCCTACCTCAATGCGGCCCGTGTCCGGCTGGAAGCTGCGTGCAGGGTCCTCAGTGGTGACGCGGCACTGGATGGCACAGCCGTTGATGCGAATGTTCTCCTGCCGCAGGCCCAGGTCCGGCAGGCTCCTGCCTTCGGCCACATGGATCTGGGCGTGGACCAGGTCCACACTGCAGGCAGCCAAGGGGAGGAGGACTCGTTCAGTGGGGTGCGCACCAGGAGGGCACAGCAAGGGGTGGGGTGGGCCAGCCTGGGCAGCGGCTCCTCCTGACCCAGGCCTCCCAACCCTGGTCCTGACCCCCAGGCCCTGGAGAGGCTCTGCCACATGTACCACCCACACCTGCAGTGTAGACCACCCTCAGGTGGGCACTCAGCTGGAAGGGGCAGCAGAAACACCAGGGCACCTTCTTGTGTACCACCTGCTAAGCATGCAGTCCTCACCACTGCCCCCGCCTGCACTCCCCCGCCTCCCCCGCCTCCTCCTCCCCTGCCTCCCCCTGCCTCCTCCTCCCTTCTCCTGCCTCCTCCTCCCCTGCCTCCCCCTGCCTCCCCTTCCCTCCCCCTGCTTCCCCAAGCCCAGGTTGGGAGCCTCAGATGTGTTCACCCCCAGGCCAGAGCTGGGTGTGCTACCTGTGGGAGGAGTGGACAGGCCTGGTTCAGTTCAGGTTCAAAGTGGTATCCCTGCCTTTGGGGGGCCCCTGGGGCACATGCTGTGATCAAGAGGCATGCTCCACATGGAAGGGAGGACTTCGGGGTCCGCAGCTCCCCACATTCAGGTGGTTTTACAAGCTCACAAGGGTAGGCGTGGGGGGTACGGGCATCCCCAGCAGCGGGCCGAGAGTCAGTGTCACTCACAGCAGAGGAGTGGAGGGGCTGCAGCTGAGCCCAGCCCCCCTGGGGCTCGGGTACCGAGAGGAATGGGTACTGAGCCCACACAAGCCCTAGCGCTGACAGCTGCCTGTCCACCGTGGAGCTCTGGACAGCCACATGGCGGGGAACGTCCAGGGGCTGGCAGGAAACCAGCACTGACACCACTCGTGGCCTTGGAGAGCGAGGTGTGGGGGAGTGCCCGTGCACCTGCTGGGCAAAGGCAGCTGCCCACAGCAGCCTGGGTGTCAAGGGCAGCATCTGGACCAGAAGTGTTCCGGGCCGAGATGGACTGGACCAGTCAGGCTCCCTTGCCCCCAGCTGCTGCATCTTCAAACGCCACAAGCCACTCTGACTGCCACATCCAAGGCAGACAAGTCAGCTCCGCCTGTCTCGGGAGCCCTCAGACGAGGACGCCTGTCGGTGACCCCACTTGGTGTCCCCCCTTGGGCTCCTGAAGGATGCAGCCAAGGACTGGCACACTCAGTTAACCAGGATATTCCTAACACAACTGCCACCCCTCCAGCCACGCCCGGTGAGGTGTCTGCAACATCTTCAACAATGATGGCCTGGGGCAATTCCTGCACTTGGGTAACTTTTAAAAGGAAGCTTAAAAATATATAAAAATAAAAAGTAGAATAAAAGACGCTGTAGAAACTGCATCAAGCTATTTATAAATGGACACGGGGGCGGGGGGCAGGCAGGAGCAGCAGCTCCATGGGGTGGCAGCGCGGGCTCTGGCCTGGACAAAGCACCGTGAGATGGGAGCGGGTGAGTGGGTGCGCCTGGGCGGAAATGCCGCACAGGACCCCTAAATGGTGTAAGCCCCCCATGCTAACCGCTTTCAATGACAAGAAACCTAGCGAAACATTCATAGTGGGCTGGGAGCAGGACTGGAGGGAGACCCGTGTTCGATTCCAGCTCTGTGGCCTGACGTGCTCTCGAGGTGGCTCTCACAACACCTTGAGGCTGAAGGTTTCGGGTTCCTCATCTGAGGACTGGGCATGGCAGGTGCCGTCCCCAGGCTGGCAGCGCCCCCCCCCCCGGCTGCCCTCCCCCCTCCCCCCTCCCCCCCGCCGCCCTCTCCCCGGCCTCCCTCCCCCCAGCCCCCTCCCCCTGGCCCCCCTCCCCCTGGCCCACGCTCACTCTGTGATCTCCTCTGTGACCGTGTGCTCCACCTGCAGCCGCGAGTTGACCTCGATGAAGTAGTGCTTGCCGTGCTTGTCCACCAGGAACTCCACGGTGCCTGCGTTCTCGTAGCCCACCTGCCAAGGGAGGCGCGGCTAACGGGAGCCTGCTGCGGACTCCATCTCAACCCGGGAGGGTCGGCTGGAGAGCAGACCCCTGCAGACGGGCCAAGCAGAAGCCCCCACCCGGGCTGTGTCCCCACGGACACCCCCAGTTCCTAGCCCCAACCTGGAGCTCTGGCTGGTGGCACCTCAGGTGTGCGGGAGAAGTCAGCAGGCGCTCCCTCCCACCCTCTTTCACCTCCACTCAGCCCCGCAGCCCCGCGGCCCCCAGGCCGTGCTCCCCCCGGGCTGGAGGGCCTCTTCATTCCACCCCTTACTCGCCTCCCGCTGCCCAAAGAGACACACATTTTAAAGCAACGAGTGGATGGTGACAGCAACTTGGATTTTAACAATAATACCGCTGTGCTTCCGGGCCTACAAAATCTACTGTGGAACTAGAACGGGTGTGTGTGTGACCAAACTCATGAGATGGAGACGTTTCCTACGACAGAGCAGAAGCTCCTCCCAGAGACAGGCCACGGTCAAGGTTTGTGGTGGCTTGGTCAGCCAGGAAGGCCAGCAGAACCTTGCCCCACTGCCACCTTGGCTGGGGTCATGCAGCTGTGACCTGAGACACAGCACACACGGCAGGTGCTGGGGGACCACCTGCTGCCCCGTCACCCTGGGGCTCAGTGCACCAGCATCGCCAAGTGAGCACAGGACCTTGGAATGGGAACAGACAGGCAACCACGGCAGCAGCCAGGACGTGCCGGCGTGGCACCCCTTCACTCCGGGTCAGCTGGGACCACAGGGAAGGGCGGGCTGTGGGGGAATGGCCAGGGCTCTTCCTTCCCCCTGCTGTTGCACAGATGGGTGCCGGGCACCCCACATCAGCCCAGTGAACTCCAGTTGCTGGTCAACCAAGGCCACCCTGCTTCCCAGGGGCTGCCACGGTAGTGCCCAGCCTGGTGTGCCAGACCCTACCCCTGCCTTTACCTGCTTGGCCAACTTCACAGAGTCACTGGTGAGCCGCATGCGGAGCTGGGGGTCCAGGTGGGCGGCCGGGGCGATCTCCACCACCTTCTGGTGGCGCCTCTGAATGGAGCAGTCCCTCTCATACAGGTGCAGGATGTTCCCATACTGGTCCCCTGGCGGGGAGGGGGCGGGGAACAAGTTCAGCTTCGTCTGTGGCCAGCACCGGGAGAGGCCGGCACTGCCCAGCCGTGCAGACCTGGCAGCCAGCCCAGCCCGAGCTCCACGCCTGGGGAGGGTCCCCAGATTGTCCCAGAACCCAGGGCTGCAACTCCAGGCCACTGGCTCTTGCGGCCCAGCCTTGGGGGTCCCTACTCACCCAGGATCTGCACCTCAATGTGGCGTGGCTTTTCAATGAACTTCTCCACAAACAGCGCCCCGTTGCCAAAGGCGGCCAGGGCCTCCGAGTAGGCCCGGGTGTAGCTCTCCTCCAGCTCCTGGGGACGGGTGAAGCGTACACACCTTGGACTCCGAGGCCCTGGCCACTGGCTCTCTGCCCCACCCCCTATTCCCTGGGCTCCCCCCAGCTCTCACCCACCTCGTAGCTCTGTACCACCCTCATGCCGCGGCCCCCGCCCCCGTAGGCGGCCTTGAAAATGATGGGAAAGCCGTAGGTGTTGGAGAATTCGTGGGCTTCGTGCAGGGAGGTGATGGGAGCGTCTGTCCCGGGGACCACGGGGACACCTGTTGGGAGACAGCGAGGCAGTGCCCACCACACCAGTCAGGGAAAGACAGTGCCACGCCCTCCCTCCCTGCCAGCGCCCGGTAAGAGGGCTACGTGTGCAAGCATCACCTGCGGCGATGGCGATGGCCCGGGCCTCCACCTTGTCCCCCATCTTGCGGACCACCTCTGGGCTTGGCCCAATGAAGCGGACCCCGGCGTCTTGGCAGGCCTGGGCGAAGTCTGCTCGCTCGGAGAGGAAGCCGTAGCCAGGATGCACGGCGTCCACCCCGTTCTCCTGTGGAGGGGGTCAGGGTCAAGAGCAGGCATCGTTCAGTGCCTCTGCAGGTGCTGGCCAGGCTGGCCCCGCCCGTGTCCATCCTGACAAGTGCCCAAGGGGGCTGGCCTGGGTCCGGGACCCAGCCCCAGCCTCGAGAGACTCCCACAGTCCCCTGGGGCCAGATGGGGTGCCTCACCTTGGCCACCTTGATGATGTCCGGGATGTGCAGGTAGGCCTGCACGGGCGCCAGGCCGCGGCCGATGAGGTAGGCCTCGTCTGCCTTCTGCCGGTGCATCTGGCCAGTGTCCTGCTCGGAGTACACGGCCACGGTACGGATGCCCAGCTCCGTGCAGGCCCGGAACACGCGGATGGCAATCTCACCTGGGGCAAGAGGCCGGGAAGTCAGACGCCGAGGGAAGCAGAGATGCGGGGAGGAGGGGAGGACAAGAGGAAGGCCAGGGGCAGCTCTGGCGCCTGACGCCGCCCCACTCTCACCTCGGTTGGCCACCATGACTTTCTTGATGGGCCTGTACTCCAAACGCCGGACGCTGGGGGAGGCGGCGGGGGCGGTGGAGGTGCGGCGGACGCCTAGGAGCCGCAGGCCCCCCTGCACTGGCCGGAGCCTCAGCATCTAGTGGGGAGAGGCACGGATCAGCACCGAGGCCAAGGAGCAGGGGCAGCCCCTCCTCAGGCTGACCCCCACAAACACCAGCGCCAACCTCCTGGTGCCTGCAGCCCAGCCCAGCATCGCCCAGTGGCAGGGAAAGTGTGATCCCCAATGCCACTGGATGCCCGAATTCGCCCTGTCTACACCGACATCATGTTCACATTCACACCTCAAGCTGGGAAAGCCATTTCAGAGGCCCGAGGCCCCGACGGGCACGGTGCGTGTCTCAGCATGGTCCACCCCGTGGCCGTCAATGACCTCTGCCTGGTGAGCTGACCCCGACAGGCGCCGGGCACCGGAACCTCCCCGACACCGAGCCCTGGCCCTCTCTCCCGGGCTTCAGGCCGGAGGGTGAGAGCGGATTCCCGGAGGAGGAGGGGGAGGAGGCGACCACCTTGCAGGAAGACGCCTTGGTTCAGTGGAAAGGCGGTTCCCCACAGAGCCGTCGCTGGGGAATTTTACATAAATCCTCAACAAAACACGAGGGGCCAGACGCCAGACCCAGCGGGGACGGAGGTAGATGGGGGGAATAATGTGGCACAGTGAGAAGCTGCCACCTGTGAGGCCAGCCTCTCCGGGGCACTTTGCTTCCAGCCGCGCTTCCTGTTCAGGTGCCTGCGGAGGCAGAGGATGGCAACCCAGCCACCCATGTGAGGGCCTGCGCCGCCTCCCCCAGCCCCGGGCAGCTCTCGGCCTCAGCAGTGAGAGAGCAGCTCAGGCCGCAGCAAGCACCTCAGAGATGAGCCAGGGAGGGCAGCCACAGGCCAGAGCTGCAGGGAGAGCACAGGCCAGGGGTATGGGGGCATGGGGGTGCCGCTAGCGGAGGCTGGGGCGCAGGGTGAGACGAGAGTGGGGGCAGGTGTCTGCTGGGCAAGCGTCTCCGGAGTGGAGGCAGTGGGGCTCTCAGACGGAGCACGTGGAGGGCCACACTGGGCTGGCGTCGGTGGGGATAAGGCGACATCTCAGGATGTGACAGGCAGGGGAGGAAGTGGCGCTGGCTGGCCGGATGGAGAGCAGAGCGGAATCTGCTATGGGCAAGACCTTAGGGAAACAGGGTGAGACGGGACAGGGTCACAGCCAGGCCAGGGCAGGGGGCAGCGCCTGGGGCATTTGTAGGCAAGGCGTGTCGTGCGCGGGGCCAGGGAAACACGCTTTAGGGGCCTGGGCCCTTGGCTCCAGCCACACTGGTGGGTAGAGCCTGCTGGGTTACCCCAGAGTCAGAAGGAAAGCTGGGGCGCAGGAGCAGCTGGTAAAGCTGCCACCTGGGACACCAGCACCAGCTACTCCACCACTCATCTGATAAGCTCCCTGCTAATGTCCTTGGCAGAGCAGCGGGCCTGGCATGCCTGGGCCCCTGCACCCACACGCGAGGCCTGGAAGAAGCTCCTGGCTTCAGCTTGGCTCAGCCTCACTCATTGTGGCCGTCTGGGTAGTAAACCAGCAGATGCAATACCTGTCTGTCTCTCTCTGGCTCTTTCTTCGCTCTCTGTTACTGCCTTTCAAATAAACACATCTTTAAAAGCGAGGTAAAGTAGCAGCCAGCCTGCCACATCTGGAGGAGGCCCCTGTGCCACACACCCAGTCCACAAGCCCGGGCAGGGCAACCCAGCTGGGCTGCAGGCTCGTTGTCTTATCGAAAGAAGGGCACACACACCTGTGCTAATCACAGCACACACACACACACATACACACTCATTCACACTCACACACACAGCACCCCAGCCCCCATCTGTGGAGGGTCTGACCAAGACGCCCAGCACACACCTGCCGCTGGATGGAACACACACGCTGTATCTTTTCCTGCACACGCACACCTGTGATAAAATGGAATTCCCAAGTTCGGCTCGGGAGCTTAACAGCAGTAACTGATAAAATACAATTACTGGGACACGTTGCAATAAAAAGCACACAGGAGTGTGGTTTCTCTCCCGCTTGCTCCAAGAATCTCGCCAGACCCCAGAGCTTACAAGCACTTCTTTTGCTAAGCCGAGGACTTTCACCCGTCCACTTACGGGCAACACTTCCCAGCTTGCCAGCCATAGCTGAACGTGACCGGAATACAGTGCCAGCGTCACACATGCTCCGGGGCCGCCCCGGACACGGGCTGCTCGCCAGAAGGCCCAGCACTAAGCAGCGGGCAGCACGCCGCCTGGGCACCCGCACCAAGGACGAGTTCCACGAGATTTCAACACAGCGGGCAGTTTAAAACCTAGAAAATGGTTACACTGCACTGGCCCGTGACCACTGTTTGCCTGCTGTCAACCCCGAGTAACCGAGTCCCCGAGAGGAGGAGACAGCAGAAGGGTGCTGACCCACGTGGATGAGCGCGGAGGGTTAACACCACCAGCCCCCAACAGGTGCGGCTCCTGCCAGGAGCTTGGGGGACAGGATGTCTGTGCTGCATTGCGGGAACAGGGCATAGCCTGAATTTTTAAAAAAATATTTATTGGGCCTGGAGCAGTGGCCTAGCGGCTGAAGTCCTCACTTTGAACACACAAGGATCCCATATGGGCGCCAGTTCTAATCCAGGCAGCTCCACTTCCCATCCAGCTCCCTGCCTGTGGCCTGGGAAAGCAGTGGAGGACGGCCCAAAGCCTTAGGACCCTGCACCCACATGGGAGACCCAGAACAAGTTCCTGGTTCCTGGCTTCGGATCGGCACAGCACCGGCCGTTGCGCTCACTTGGGGAGTGAGTCATCGGACGGAAGATCTTCCTCTCTCTCTTCCTCTCTGTATATCTGACTTTCCAATAAATAAATAAATCTTTATAAAAAATACTGATTTATTTTTATTGTAAAGTCAGATATATATAGAGAAGAGATAGAGAGGAAGATCTTCCATCCACTAATTCACTCCCCAAGCAGCTGCTACAGCCGGAGCTAAGCCGATTCAAAGCCAGGAGCCTGGAGCTTCTTCCAGGTCTCCCACATGGGTGCAGGGTCCCAAGGCTTTTGGTCGTCCTCCACTACCTTCCCAGGCCACAAGCAGGGAGCTGGATAGGAAGTGGAGCTGCCCAGATCAGAACCAGTGCGTTCAAGGCGAGGACTTTAGCTGCTAGGCTATCACGTTTGACCCCACAACCTGAATTATAACCAGGAGAAAACAAGAGACAAACCCAGGTTTCAGGGAAAATCCCACACAACAGCTACCTTGAACTCTTCACCGCTGTCAAAGGTGGTGAACAAAGCAAACAAAAGCAGCTGGGGGTTGGGGAAGCACAGAGACAACGACCCACTGCCCACGTGATCCAGATGGGGGCTTGGGGATCTGTCTGGGGGCACAGCGACAAGCATGACGAGGTCTGGCGGGGTCGCCGGTCCCACCCCAGCCCGGGGTCAGGCAGTGGGTGTCCTCCTCTCTGGAGGAAGCACACTCAAGTCCAGGGGAAAACATGAGGGCAATGAAGACGCTGGTTTGGGGGACCCGGGGCGGGTGCCAAGGCTTCTGTTGCTTTGGTATAAAGTTGAATCCATTTCTAAACACCTTGTGAAGAACTCCACAGCCCGGCTCATCCTGTGGGGGCTGCTCACCTCACCAAGGGGTACCCTGGGTATCAGTCGGGAGCTGGGGGTTGAGGGATGTGACTCCTGACCCCCACGTCTTACTCTGAGAGGAACCTCAGACGGGGCCACGGGCTGCTCTCTGCTCCGATCTGCCTGCAGTGTCCCCACCCTCTGCCCTGGGGACCATGCCACGTGACCCACGGCGGGCGCAGAGGAGGCAGGGTACAGGCCACGCTGGCAGCATAGGGCACGCCCCCGGAAACAGGCATGGGCTGCAACCCTAACTGCGCCAAGTGGTCATCTCCGTGACCACGAGGACAGGGAGGAAGAGGCAAAGAGCCCCCTGGGGGGCGCAGCAGCCGAACTGCGAACGCCAGGGTCCCCCAATCCCTGCAGCTTCAAGGAGGTGTCATTCTGACCTGTGTGTTGGCCGCAGGGAGGAGAGGGGAAAGGAGGGGAGGGCGGGGTACTAGGCGGGTAAGACCTATGGGCAGACCCACAGGTGCTGGCTGGGAGTAGGGCCACTTGGGGGGAAGGTGGCCCACAAATCTGATCAGGAACCTTCCAGAGTATTCCCTTCTTTGGCCTGGTCACCAAGCAACCCAAGGGATTATTCCAGTGCATGAGGCAGGACACGAGCGGGACAGTTTACAGTGCCAGGACTGTCCACAGCAAGGGACATGGGGTCATCTAGAGTGTCTCACGGAGACACTGTAAGATGGGGCCGGCCCTCGGCACACACGGGGTTCCACGGAGACACTGTAAGACGGGGCAGGCCCTCGGCACACACGGGCTCCATGCTGTGGGAGACTTTGTGATGCCAAGGCAAGAGGTTTTGCAGCTAGTGTGTTCCTGGAAGACGTTGCCAAAGCAACAGAGGCCACAAGCATGGCACGCTAGGGGTCAGCTGCCCACTCCTGGGTGCCCGGACCAGTGCAGGGTTAGTCCCTGCCCACCTGGGCGTGCTGTTCCACCACCCACACACTTTGCTCCAGCAGGCATCATTTAGAAACCTGAAAACAAAATGAAGGGACAAACTCAGGGGACCTGAAAACCCTTAGGGGAGCTCCTGGACAGCCCCCTGCCCCTTCCCACCTGCCACCCGCTGCCCCCAGGAACAGCCTGGCGGCTACGGAAACAACCTGGGGCGCCAGGATGATTAAATTCCCACCTCTGCTGCTACACGCAGGGCGGCCCCGACCTCGCCCACCTGGGGTTACTGCGACAGCCTGTCGGATGGCTGCCATGGTCGTTTTGGCTGTCACCCCGGCCCCTGCACCTGCTTCTTCAGGTGAATGGAGGGATTTCCTTGGCCGTTAAGGAAGAGGGCTGGCAGCTCCCGGTCTTTGAGGCTGGGCCCTGCCCCTCGGAGTGGCCCTGTTGAGCTGGCCCCTCACCACCCCTAGCCACCAGGGCACCCTTTGTCTGCAGAGGCCCTTCTTGGGTGGGAATCCCGGCACC